ACTGGTCCCTTGAAATGAGTTACAGGGGACTGCAAACCACCACTTGGAACTGAACCCAGGTTCTCTGCAAGAGCAGTCAGTGCTCTTAACTGCTGAGCCATCTCTCTAGCCCCCTTTTTTTGGTTTTTGATAAGGATCCATGCTTGTCCTCCTGAACTTGCTAAAGCACTCATGCAGAGTTCAGAGCACAGCTTTTGGGAGCAGATTCTCCCCCCTCCCACATGGGATCCAGTGATTGAACTCAGGTCATCATCAGGTTTGCATAGCATGGACCTCTACCCACTGAGATATCTGCTAGTCTCAATTCTGGTTATTCTCTCAACCATTTTCACATTTCCTGATTCATCCAAAATGTTCTCTGCAACCCACTTAACCCAATTGAGTATCCAGTCTGGGGTCGCACATTACACATGCATGTTGAGTCCTTAACTGTATTTGAATTTAACACATCCCCCTTTTTGGCCAAAAGTAGGATCTAAAGACTACGGATGCAAGCTATCCAAGAGGATACCTCACATACAGTTGGGACAGAGATCCATATGTAGCACCTTGAACTAGAGGGACTTCATCCCCACACAGCCTTACTGCTCAAAGACCAATGCCTGGTCCTAGGGTTTTAAGATGTAAGGTGAAGCCAAAAGATCAGGATGTAACTAACAAATGTGTCACTCATAGTTACCAAGTGGACGGGGCATGCCACACCACACTGAACCACACTAGGAAATGGTAGGGTTGCCAGGGAGTAAGAGGAAACCATGGCAATAATCTTTTTGTCGTTTCCATGGAAATAACAGGAAGACAGGCCATGTAGGATCTGGAGAGTAGGGAGTGTCTCTAGCTGTGAATTGGGCAGACCAGGGCCTAAAGTATAGCATCCTTGATAAAAGGGTTAGGGTCTGAGGGAAGCATGATGGTGTAGGTAGGATTGTACTACTAGCACTCAAGAAGGTGAGGCAGGAGGAGCATGAATTAGATGAGAGACCCTGTGTCAGAAAAACAAAACCAAAGGGCAGGGGATTGGGACTATGGGTTCTGAGTTAGGAGCACTAGGGAGCCAGAGTTTCACTGTCTCTAGGAGAAGAGCAATCTCTTTGGGTCTGCAGTGTCCCAGCTGCAAAAACTAGTCACGTTTGGTGGGCACAGACCTATAAGCTCAGCACTCGGGATACTGGGGCAGGAGGATTGCCATGAGTTCCAAGCTAGGAGAAAAAAAGAAAAACAAAACAAAACAAACTAAACAAGCAAACAAACCTAAAAAGCTAGTATTCATACAGTTGCATTTTGTTGGTTAATGTTTTATTTTATCATTCCTTTTACATTTGTTAGATACCATGTCTCTGCATTTTTATTTTATTTTTTATGCTTGGACTAGAGAGATAGCTCAGTGATCAGGTACATTGACTGCTCTTTTAGAGGATCTGGGTTTGATGCCCAGCCTTTTTTTTTTTTTTTTGGTGGAGGCTCATAACTGTAACTAGTTCTAAGGGATCCTGTGCTCTTTTCTGGCCTCTGCATGTACTATATACATGTGATACACAGTCATGCACTACAGCACACACATACACATAAAATAAATTTTATCTTATTTTGGTTTTTCAAGACAGGGTTTCTCTGTGTAGCTTTGGATTCTGTCCTGGTTGCCTGGTGTACCAGGCTGGGCTCAAACTCAGATCTACCTGCCTCTGCCTCCCAAGAGCTGGGATTAAAGGCATGCATGCCGCCGCTACCCCCTGGCTAAAAGAAATATTTTTTAAAAGACAATTTTGGGGCTGGAGACATGACTTGGTGGTTAGGAGCACTCACCGCTCTTGGAAAGGACCTGAGTTCATTTCCCAGCAACCAAATGAAGGTTCACAACCATCTATAATTTCAATCCAGGAAACTGGGTACCCTCCTCAGGCCTAGGCAAGCACCAGGCAAGTGTATGATACACATTTATGCAGACAGAACACTCATAACAAAAGTAAAAATACAACTCTAAAACCTTTTGCCTGGTGTGTAGTATACACCTTTAATTCCAGTACCCAGGAGGCAGAAGCTCAGATAGACTTGTGATTTTGAGGCCAGCCTAGTCTTATGAGAGTTGTAGGCTGGCCAGAGTGATAGTAAGACCTGTCTCAAAATAAGAAAAAAGTTTTGACTCAAGAGGCTGAGATGGAAGGATTATGAATTGTAAGCCAACCCAAGGTACATGGGTATGACCCTATTTCAAAGTAATACAAGTAGCTATCAGGTAAATTAAAAGCTTTGCCAGTTTTAGGTAAAACTAAAAGGGGGGCACAAAGGAGAGCTTATGGGAGACAGGATGAAACAGAATGAAGTTCAGTGACAGATGTGTGAAAATACTATCATCAAATCCATCACCATGGTAATTACTTCACTAAAGCATGAGCTGTTACTGCTGCAGTCCAGGAACTTGACTTGCTAAGTGTATGGAGTCCTAAGTACTCCTTTGGTTGCATGCTCAGAAACTGAGGAGGAGAAGAAGCAGGTTTACAGAAATCAAGGTAAGGCAACAGACCAGACAGTGGCTGTGGGCAGAGTGCTGAGAAAGGAGGCTGAGACCTGGCAGGTATTATCCAGGAGGGATTGAAAGCCACCAGACTGGGGGACAGGTACTGACACCCCAACCATCACACACAATAAGCCTTCCATTGCTACTGTTTTATTTCTAGAGTGAATTCCATTCTATATAGGTGAGTTAGTGGTCATAGCATTCCAGACTTTCAGTCCCTGGGGGTTTGAGGAAGTATGGATTTTTCCCCTCAAAGTGAGGGAAACACAATGTGGTGGGCACTCTGGGACCCTTCAGGTCCAGAGTCTAAAAATGAAGAAGAACCACTAATAAGTGTGAATGACAACTGGCCTGGTCCTGGTGACTGCAAGGACTTCCTTGAGGAAATGACATCTTGTCAAACTTGGAAGGACCCAGGTAGAAGGCTCATATCCACATACAAGAGTGACAGGACCTCCCCAACAGGGGAATTGATGTTTCAGGACTAAGGTCTGTGCTGGGTGTGGAGAAGGGTCTGGAAAGTATTGATGGATGCCCATCAGATATGGACTCATTGCTGCCTGGGGAAGATGGTGTGTGGACCCATACTGAATATGTAAGGATATAGGAAGATCGAGGGCCCAATAGGACTCTTGATGTGGAGTGCAGAAGAGGGACACATGCAGCTCAGCCCTGGGTTGACATTTCTCCTTGACCTTTTCCTTTATATGAGGCCTTCTGTCCGTTGAGCTTAATTGTATCTGTCACTTGAACATCCCCCTTCCTGATGATGTCGAGGAGTGAAGGGATAAGCTATCTATTTCCAGAACCCAAAGAGGTTTAGGATTTAAAAAAAAAAAATAGCTTTTAATTAGCTGTTCCTCGCTTTGCACCTTCCCCAGGCCAGTTGGATGGCTCGTGCATCTTTGGGATCCTCAGGAGATTGGAGCTCCCGTTAATGCTTAGAACTGCTGAAATGGCCAATCTGCCAGCACACTAATCCAATCTCCTCCCTGCTCTTCAAATCTGATTTGGTTTTTAGATACTGAGACCTCAGTGCCGACCATCCCCACAGATCCCTACAAATTCCCCACGTGGCAGCCAGGGGCCTCATTCTTGCCCTGTGGGGTCATCTGGTGGAACTTCACCAGCTGCCTCCAAGAGCTGGCTGCTCACCATCTGAAAACAAAGAGACCCTCTCCCAACCTCCCTGACTATCCTAACCGGTTGGTGACAAATCATAAGGTAAGTGAGAGCCAAACCCAAGCATTTTCAGAAACCAGAGTGGACACGGGGAGTCACAAGGACAGGCATGGTTGTGCAAGGCATAATACAGGGGTTTGCTACCTCTCACTTCCACAGGACTTGGCTTGGAAAAAGAACTCAGAGGGCATTCAGTCCTAGATCAGGAGATGCCCTGATAATCTTCCAGAGTGAGAAGAGGGAACAAATACATTGGGTGGGGGGGAAAGGCTTTCTTGATGGAACTATAGGGTTCTCATAGGCCCCTGACAGCTATATTTGGGGAACAGTCTGTTTCGGAAACATCTGTATGCTTACCATACAGTAAAGAAAAGCCAGGTGTGGTGATCCACACTTGTAATACCAGCACTTGCCAGTTTGAGGCCAACCTGGGCCACATAAGATGAGGAGGGAGAAGAAGAGAGAAGGGATCTAATCATGATAAAGTTGTTTGGTTTGGTTTGTTTGAGACAGAGTCTTAACCGTGTAACCCTGGCTGCCTTGGAACTCCCTTATGTAGACCAAGCTGGCTTCAAATTCTCTGTATTCTAGCTCTGTCTCCTCAGTGCTAAGATGACAAGTTACTACACCTGGCATGACAGCATTTTAGATGTGACCTGAGAAGTACATGACACTGACATTTAATCCAAAAAAGCAAAACTTCATTATAATCTAGCTGGTGAAGTTTACTGAAATGTTCAAATCTTACCAAGAAAAACAGAACACACCAAAATATATATACACTGGGCCAAGCATGGTGGCACATGCCTTTAATACAAGCACTCCAGAAGCAGAGGCGGGGGAATCTCTATGAGTTTGAGGCCAGTCTGATCTACATAGTGAATTTCAGGCCAGCTAGGGCTACAAGTGAGATCCCATTTCAAGGGTGGGGGATACTGGTGCTTGAGAAATGGTTCAGAAGTTGTGTTTGCCGCTCTTCCAGAAGACATGAGTTTGGTTCCCAGCACTCAGGTCAGCTTTGAGGGAGCTGTCACCCTCTTCTGGCCTCTTCAGACATCTGTACACATGTGGCACACATACACATAAATGAAAATGAAATATTTGAAATGTACGCTACAGTAAAGTACAATCAGTGAGACGGCTGATTTCCTCAAGCATGGATGCTGGAGCATGTGGGAGGAAATGTCCAAGGGAGGAAGTCTCAGGAGTAGGCTTGATGTCCAGAGTGTCCTTAACTTTATGTTTGGAATCACTGTACTTTCCCAGCCCTCCAACCTGACATACATCCCAAGGGACAGACAACATGGCAGCCTGTGTGAAGACCAGTAAGTCCCAAGTCATCTTTAAGAAGGTCTCTCGGGACAAGTCGGTAAGTGGTACAGAAGAGAGTGGCTTCCTGGAGATTGTTGTGAGAATAATAGGAAGCAGACATTTGCCAAGTATAAGTGTGATCAACTATCATGGAGCCCAGGGATGCTCTGTGTCCATGGGCTGGGCAATCAGTGAGAGAGGAGTGAGGAATACCCATGGGTCCTGCAGTTCCATTGTCCCACCCCAACCGTGTTAATTTTCCTTGTAAGTTATGGAAATGTGTTGTGTATTACAGCACAGGCCAATTTGAAAGCACACTGAGGCTGGTGTGTCTAGTAGCTACCTAATGGACAGTGCGGATCTGCCTCAGTCTACTGGCTGGTTTCCTTATGGTGCCTCACAAAGGAATCAGACTTCCACATATGCCTTCCTCCTGCCTGCAACTCTGTTGGCTGGAAATGTCATCATTTCATCAAGCACTTGGGTTCTTTGTGGTGATAGCTTTGGTACCCTATATCTTTTCGTTCTCTAACACCTATTTCCACTGTGTCTGACCATTCCTTTTCATCTGCACTTCTGATAGAAAAAGAACTGCTTTGTGCTAGTTTCCCTGGTCACTTACTGTTTCCCCCCAATACCCAACAGATATCTATTGTCTATAGCCATGCCTTCTTGAAATGCACCTGATCTCCAAACAGACATCATTTGAACCAAGAAATTTATTTCCTATTTTCCTGCCTCCCTCCCTCTTATGGGAATTGAACTTAGGGCCTCATACATGATAGGCCAGCACCCTCTCTCACCGAGATATATGTATGTATGTATGTATGTATGTATGTATGTGTGTGTATGTATGTATATGTGTGTATATGTGTGTATATGTATGTATATGTGTGTGTATATGTATATATATATGTATCCCCAACTTTAATTTTAGTTCTATTTTGAGACAGAATCTCATGAAATTTCCCAGACTTGAACTTGGACTCCTCCAGCCTTGGCCTCCTAAGATAATAGGATTCCAGGCATGTGCTGCCAGGCCCTGCTTAGTTTTTTGGTGGCTCAAGGATCAGAATGGAGAAGAATCCATCAATTAATGTTTTATGTACTGGGGTTTTTCTTTTGTTGGTTGTTTTTGTTTAGTTGGTTTGGTTTTTGGTTTTTCAAGATAGGGTTTTTCTGTAACTTTGGAGCCAGTCCTAGAACTCTGCCTCTGCCTCCAAGTGCTGGGATTAAAGGCATGCACCACCACCCCAACTGCCCCTCCCCACGTGACAATGGTGTGGATCTTGAGCATGACTGGCTCTTTTAGCCAGGAAGGTGTGCTTAGTTGTGTGTGGGTTACCAGAAGCTTATTGGTTTCACATGGCCATCCTTCTCCACCTATTCATGTCCTTGCCCTTAATTTCCAGGGCAGTAGAAGGGTGACCCTGTTCCCAACTGAGTTCAGAGTCATCACTCACCTCTGGGAGGATTCATGATCTACCACCACTGGGAACTTAGTCCCGTCTAGTCTGGATTGAATCTACAGCCTTTTCCAGGGTGAGAACAGTTTGTAGCTGGGCTTGATAGCGCAGACCTTTAATCCCTATACTTGGGAGGCAGAGGCAAATGCATCCCTCTAAGTTTGAGGCCAGCCTGGTCTACATAGCAAGTTCCAGGACAGCCAGAGCTACATAGTTAGACCCAAGTATCAAAAATAAAAGATATCAGTCGGGTGGTGGTGGCGCATGCCTTTGATCCCAGCACTCGGGAAGCAGAGGCAGGTGAATCTCTGAGTCTGAGGCCAGCCTGGTGTACAGAGCATGTTCCAGGACAGGATCCAAAGCTACATGGAGAAACCCTGTCTTGAAAACCCTCCCAAATAAATAAAAGATAAAATAAAAAATGTCTTAATAGCCTGCATCTTAATAATGGTTATTAACAGCTCCCTTGGCCTCCATCTCCAGCTCGTTCCTTTCCAGCCAAAGCTTGGGAGAAGAAAATGCTCCCCCATCTACTCACCTTCATCGTCCTAGAGACTCTCTTATGCCCTCTTTTCCCAACCATAAAGAGGCTGCCTGCCTCCCTTTCCCCTGCTAATCGTCCTTCCACTTAGCCTCAGGCAGGACTCAGTTTCTGTACAAGACAGAGCCAATCTCATCTTCCACAGCTGTTTTGGGTTTGAAATGACCGGAGTGTCTAGAGTGCTACCTGGTTGTGCCAGGGCATCTTCCTGGGCTCCTGTATCCTAAAGACCTTGCCTCACTCAGCATTCATCCTTACTCAGTGGCCACCTGATACAAAGGAGGCCATTGCTGACTCCAGAAACATTCTCTTCTCTTTAGCATCTTTCCATCTCTTTTGCCCTGAGAGCCACTCCTTCCTGTTGTCCGGCCACCTCCTGTGCAGTCTGCTCTTCAAAGGCAGAGCTTCCTGACCATACCCTTTGCCTGTCTCTTCCCCACCACTTACCTCAAACCTAAAGGCAGCAACATGGTGAGACCTCCATAGCCCTGAAGCCAGATACGGCATGTGCTGGGGTGGGGTTGCAGATCTGGAATGTTCCTGTGGTGCCGTAGACTGAAAGATGTTAGGCATGATGACTGTGCCCTAATTTCAGCACTTGAGAGGCTGAGTCGGGGCGGGGGGTTTGAAGTCAGCCTGGGCTACACAGTGTATTCTAGGATAGCTTGTTCTACAGAATGAGAAACACTATCTCAGAATAACACGGGGGCAGCCAGAGTATGCTGAGATGCAAGGGATTTGTGGTGCCAAATTGTTCTCTCGAAGCATGGGTAGGGTTTTCTCAGCTAGAGATGTGGCTGAAGGGCTTTCCTTGCTGTGCAGGCAGCAGGAACAGATAGGTTCAACAGCACTACATGGCCAAGGCCAAGGTGAGGGCTGAGGGGCCTGGAGCCCATAAGAGTCCTGTTGGCCACCTTCAAGGAACAGGATGCTATTCCATAGGAGGGAGGGAGCAGGCACATCTACAAATTAGGTGTCCACATGTTAGGGTTCCTTCAAGAACAGAAATAGATGGATATGAGGAAAGTTTGTGCCCCTGAGTAAAACTCGAGGTTTACTACCACTGGGGAACCTTAGTCCCATCTAGTCTGGTTTGGGCCTGTAGCACTGAGCACAGGTGCCTGTCTGGGCTGAAGAGATGGGATATTCCAACAGGTTTCAGAACCTAGAAGCCAACAGAGCTGCCCTCCAGGAACTGTGACCATGTTGGGAGGAATGTGCCAGCCACAGGCCAGGCAGGAAAGCAGGGGACAAGCACCACCTCCCCTTCTTTCCCTCAACGTTTGGGTCCATCCCTCATAGAAAGCAGAAGGCCAGGGAGTTCACTGGTCTAGAGGGTGAAGCTTGGTACTTGCTGCATCACACTTTGCAATGTGTGTCCCTGCATCCTTCGCCCAGCCCCCACCCTTCCCAGGTGGCCGAGGCCTGCAGAAGCACTGTGTATACATTTACAAGGTTTCTCACGGGATCCTCTCTGTTAACAGGGATCTAGAGGCATTTGCTTGATACAGCCTCCAACATCAATCATGCAAGTAGATCCACCTGGGAACAAATGATGCATTGTGGAGGATTGAGTATAAGACATGATTTAATGTCAAAAATCAGTTGGATTGTTTGCAGAAATAAAAATGTGTACTTGAGAGGCCTAGAGAAACATAGAGCTAGCCAGAATGCATGGTTTTGATCATTGGTGTACTTAGCAAGCACTGATTGAATCCCTCTATATACAAAGGCTGTATTAACTACCGAGAAGGCTGAAAGGGGCATAGAATACTCTAGATCAGCAGCTCTCAACCTGTGGGTTGCCACCCCTTTTGGGGTGGGGGTTGAACGACTCTTTCACAGGGGTCTCACCTAAGACCATTGGAAAACAGACAGTTATATTACGATTCATAACAGTAGTAAAATTAGAGTTATGAAGTTGCAATGAAAATAATTGTATGGTTGGGGTCACCACAACATGAGGAACTGCATTAAAGGGTCACAGTGATAGGAAGGCTGAGACCACTGCTCTAGATTCTCACCTCAAGGCATTTGTGGTCTCTGAACAGCAGGGAAGCAGCTCCCTGCTCCCCTACAGAATAGGTGAGGGGAATGGCTACCAGGAGAATGGTAGTGTCTGTCGTAATTTAAGAAAAGCAGTGAGGGAGAGAAAGACACCATGCAACAGGGTTCAGCCTGAAGGGGTTTTTTTTTAATTAGGAAAAGGGATCATAGAAGGGGGAAAGGGGAGGCCAGTCTCTGGAGACGGGAGCAGCAGGAGAGAGGAGAAAGGAAAAAGGAGGTGGGGGGAGGGCAGAGAGAGGGAGAGAAAGAAAGGGAGAAGGATGGGAGGTGGGCAGGGCCCTTTTAAAAGGGAAAGTAGTGAATGTGCAGAGGTGGTGCTCTTAGTGGCTGCACCTGAGGGTGTATCCTGTCAGAACCCTAAGGCCAGGCCAGTACACAGCAGATGCCTGAATACAACAGAGCCCCACCCACTGAGCTTCACAACTTCCTTCCTTGTTGCTAGTTTACCTGTACAGAGTTCACCCAATCACCCAGTGGGATTTCAGCCTCCTCTGGAATTCCTACTTCTTTTCCTAGTCCAGAAAGTCCTGGACAAGAAGACAGGGTCTTTCAGAACACAGCTAGAAATAGAAAAGCAGACTGTGCCCATGGGCATCTCCTTCCATGAATGCATGGGTTGGTCTGTCAGATGTACCTGGTTGCTAACAGACTGGACTTGATGGGAAGGACAGAACCCAGTGGAAAGAATTTCCACCGTCCATATGGATGGAAAGAATTCCTTGGAGCTGATATAGGGTTGGAAGACAGTATCCTGCCCTTTGAATGAACTATCTTCACCATAGTCAGGAGAGAAGGAAGTCACAGAGCAGCTGTGGAGCCAAGTGACTCCTCTGTTGAAGACTAATGGAAAGGGATGAGGCTCTAGGGTGGAGCATTTGCCTTGCATGTGTGTGGCCCCCAGGTTTCCTGCTCAGCACTGACTAAGGAAGAGAAAAACACTACTGGAAAGACTACTGGGGTTGTTGGCTTATAGGTGAACACCTTCCTTCTTTCTACAGGTGACTATCTACCTGGGGAAGAGAGACTATGTTGACCATGTCAGCCAAATAGAGCCTGTAGGTAAGTTGAATTTGGAGGGAATTTAATTCTAGTTTTCCTTTAAGTCATTAGACAATAACTAGCTTTTCATTAAAATAAAAGAATGGATTTCCAGCCAGGCATGGTGGTATAGTGGCATGATGGCACATTCCTCTACTCCCAGAACTTAGGAAGCAGAGGCAATGGATCTCTATGAAGTCAAAGCCAGCCTGGTCTACATTATGAGCCAGGGCTGTTTTGTCCCAAAACAAACTAACTAACAAACAAGCAAGCAAAAAGATGGGTCTCAGGCTGAAGAGATGGCTCAGAGGTTAAGAGCACTGGCTGCTCTTAAAGAGGACTTGAGTTCCTTTCCCAGCAGCCACATGGCAGCTCACAGCCATCTGTTACTCTATATCCAGAATATACGATGCCCCCTTCTTGCCTCTGTGCATAGTACACATAGATGGCATGCTCACATACATACAGACAGACATTCAGGCAAACACCCATATATATATATATATATATATATATATATATATATGTGTGTGTGTGTGTGTGTGTGTGTGTGTGTGTGTGTGTGTGTGTGTGTATATGTATATATATATATATATATATATTAAATAATATATATATAAACAAATCTTTAAAAAAATCACACTAATAATCTAATCAAAGAGCTAGAAATTAAAATGTCATCAAGTGGCTGCTGGTTGACCAGAAACAATTTGTTTTCACAGTTATTTATTTATTTGGGGGGAGAACAGTTTTCTATAGTCAGTTCTCTTGTACTTTAGTGTGGTTCCATGAATTGAACTCAGGTTGCCAGGAGTGTATAACAAGCATCTTTACCCACTAAGCCATCTTGCTGTCCCCTCAAAATAATAATAATAAAAAAAAAATTAAAGGATGGGTTTACAAACTCGGTACTTGCTTAGTCCTAGGTCCTGGGCTCAATCTTTAATACTAGAGGGAAAATTCACCTCTCTCCCTTCTGACTATGTATGCAATGTGTCCAGCTTCCTTGAGCTCCTGCCTCCATATTTTCCCCATCATGATAGACTGTACCCTCAAACTGATGTGAAAGAAACACAGAAAGACCTCAAAGGAGGTTTTGATCGAGAGACGATGTATGAAGTAAATGGGCTGCAGAAGTCAAAGACAACAGGAGTTATCCTAATCTTAAAAGTATAAATGTTTGGGCCTAAGGGAAGAAGGATCCAAAAACTACTGCCAATAGCATATGTATGTATGTATGTATGTATGTATGTATGTATGTATATATACATGTATACACATGTACATATATACATAATTTTATATACATACATATACATATACATATACATATACATATACATATATATATATATATATATATATGAGTGAATATGTGGCTGGACTAGCCATTTCTTATATCCCCAGAGCCACCTAGACTCTAGGAAACACCTAGGAATCCAACTATGTGTAGAAAAAGAAACTGTTCCTGTATGTGGTTTTCCTGACACAAAACCAATATATTTCAATTTTTCAAATGCAAAAAGAAAGATGGCCAAAAGAACAGGCAGTAGCAATGTCAGTAATGATGAGGATGCCAAGGGACTGGCACCTGTAGACTGCTGGTGGGAGTGTATGGTGTTGCAGCCACCAGGAAAGCAGCTTGGCAGTTTCTTTAAGAGCTAAATGCACACTTACCATAAGACCCAACAATAGTGCTCCTGGGTATTTATTGAGAAGTGAGATCTATGCATACAAAACCTTGCTTGGACATGGTTGTTCATAGCTGCTCCAAACCAAAAAGAACGAAAATCTCTCTTTAGTAGTAGAGGAATAAGGTTAAACAAAGTGTGGTATATCCATACCATGGACTACTATTCAATTATATATATATATATATATATATATATATATATATATATATATATAAGCAGCTAGTTGTTGTGGCATATGTATAATCTCAACACTTGGAAAACTGAGGCAGGAAGATGGAGAATTTGAGGTCAGCCTCAAAGAAAAAGAGGAGAGACCCTTTTTCAAAAAAGAAAGAAAGGAAGAAAGAAGGGAATGAAGGAAGACAGACAGAAAGAGAAGAAATGTAAGAAGTGTGAGCCATTGAAACCTGCAACATCTTACTGACATCTAAGGCATTATGCTGGTTAACAAGAGAAATCTCAAGGGGGCATGGACCTCCTGATTCCACTTACATACATTCTCAAGATGACAACATTCCAAAGGCAGCGCTTGCCAGGGCCTGAGGATGGTGGGAGCAAGGATGCAAGGATGGGTGGATGAGAGAGCCCAAAGGAGACCTTTGCAGTGCCAGGACGATTCTAAATAGACTGTGGTGGCTGTCACACCGGTCGCCTGTGATAAAGTAGCTCAGAACTGTACACTCCCATCATGTGCTTACCCATGTCCTCATTTAACACTGTATGTAAACTGTGAACACAAGAGGCAGCTGGATAAAGCACACTGGAGCCCTCTGTACTGGCTTTGCAACTTCCTCTGGCTTGATAAGCGTTTCACTATCTGTCCGTGTCTGAAAGAAGTTTGAGGGAAGCTGGCAGTTCTAAGCACTCCCTCAGTGGGAGAGATGCTTGCTGCCAAGACTCACATTCTGAATTTGATCCCCAGAGCCACGTTTTAAAAATGACTATTCTTATTCTTTCATGTGTAAGTGTGTGGGCCTGCATGTACACGTGTGCACCTTATGCATACAGGAGCCCTTGGAGGACAGAAGAGGTGTTGGCTTCTCTGAAACTGGAGCTACAGACATTTGTGTGTTGCCACATGGGTGCTGGGGACCAAACCCAGGTCCTGTGCAAGAGTAGCCAGTGTGCATAACTGCTGAGCCGTCTCTCCAGCCCCTAATAAAAAAATTACTATTTGTAAAAACAATAAAAAGCAAGCTGGTTTGGTGAGGCAGGAGGATCACTTGTGTATGGTCATCCTTAGCTACCTACATAGCAAATCCAAGGTTAGCCTGGGCTAGCCTGAGACTCTGTCTCAACCTCCCCCCTCCAAAACAAAAACAGAAGATGCCATATTGTATAGAGCGTTAAAGCCAGCGCCTGGTTTTCTCGATCTCACTCTGCTGGTTTTCTCTCCTTCGGTTTAGATGGTGTTGTATTGGTGGATCCCGAGCTTGTGAAGGGGAAGAAAGGTGAGTTGAGCTCCTTGCCCATCCTCCCTGCGCATCCCTCTGGCAGTGAAGGTTATTTCTGTGGATAGTAGGCTTTCATGTGGGAAGCCATGCCTATTGAAAGAGGCAAGAGTTTGTTTTTCTGCTGCCTTGCAAAGTTCTGTGCCACAGTCTCACGGTGCCCTTGAGATCTCTGGCAGTTGTGGTGTGTGTGTGGCAAGCCATTTGTTACTAATGACAGTCACAAAAACTGAATTAGAACAGATTCAAGCTAGGCTTATGATAATGTCGCTGACTCAGTTCCATTCTAAATATGCCTTTGGAGTAGTTGCTACTGGCAACCACAAGGCATTGTTCTAAACCTTGGATGTGCCCTCTGGAATATGTCAGGTGGGCTGACAACAGCGAGGGGGATTAGAGGGGCCACGGCAGGAAGAGCAGAAGACCCTTCTCCTGCTTCCCCACCTTCCTGGCTGCTCTGCAGCTGCCTGGTTTGAACCCAATTGGTCCCTGCCCTTTACCACAGAGATTCAGTTATCAGGGAAAACCACAGCTGAGTGGGTGCAAGCAGAGACCCGGCCCTGCTGTGGGTACTTTTCTAAGATACTGCCTCAAAGGGAGGACACACAAGTGGTTAGTGACTCATGTGAGTTTGTGGTTAAGGGGTAGCTGGCCTCAGAACTGGCACAGGAAGAATTCTCAGGCAAAGCTAGAGGACTTGAGGTACCACTTTTGGTAAGCCTTGAGATGGAGAACTAGGCACTTCCTGTCTTCAAAAAAAAAAAAAAAAAAAAAAAAAAAAAAAGCTTGAAGTGAACTCTCATACACTGGGCACAGGCTGTCTTTAATCAGACAGAATTTTGGGAAGTGGTGATTTGGAGCATGCTTAATGTGCTTCCGAGAGATGCACAGACTATAAATGAAACTTCTCAGGCTTGATTTTGTCTGCCTGCCTGGCCCAGGCCTTTGGCTGTCCCCTCAGCCTCCATATGGCTCAGGCACATGTCTGTTTGGCTTCCAGCACTGTTTCTCTGTCTCTGCAGACATCCTTCCCTCTCTAACCCGAGCAAGCAAGTGAGCACCATTTCAGACTCACAACTCTAGATCCCCAAGCTGGTGGACCAGGCGGAGGGAGGGTGGGAGAGAGAGAGGAAGCAGTAAGGCCAGGTGGACTGTCCGCATATTTTTAAACATTTATTACATTTTTGCTTATGTAGTGTGTGTATGTCTGTGTGTCTCTGTATGTTCACATGTATGTGATGGGTGCAGGACATACCTGTGGAGGTCAGAGGACAACTTGTGGAGAGTTGGTTTCCTCCTGCCACCATATGGGCCCCAGAGCTTGACTTTGGTTGTCAGGATTCACACAGACACCTTTGCTCAATTAGCCGTCTTGTCAGCCCTGCCCACAGATTTCTACCATCCTGGCAAAATAATGTGGTTGCCAGGGAGATGCCTTCCAATCCTGTGACAGTCCTGTTTAGGATAATGAACTCTAGCCCTAGGAACGTGCTGATTCTCCCAAAATGTGTCAGCCAGCTGCATGGTATTATTCTCTCAGCCCCCCGTTCTTTCCGGGCAGCAAAGCCTGGAACCCTGGGGGCAGACAGAGTGTGGTGTGGCCACTCTGTTGCTACCCCAGTGGAAGTGGCTGGGATAGATGGTCCTAACCTGTGTGCATCTTCTTCCCAGTGTATGTCACTCTGACTTGTGCCTTCCGCTACGGCCAGGAGGACATTGACGTGATTGGCCTGACCTTCCGCAGGGACCTGTACTTTTCTCGGGTCCAGGTCTACCCTCCCGTTGGGGCCATGAGTGCCCCTACCCACCTCCAGGAGAGCCTGCTCAAGAAACTGGGAGACAATACATACCCATTTCTGCTCACGGTGACTCTCCTTACCCTGCCTGCCCCCCTACCCGGGCCTGCCTCCTTTATCCACAGTACCTTATAAAGGGAACGGGGCAAAGAGAAGGGGGCAGAGGGAGGATTTCACATCTGTGGGCCTGTAAATTGCACCCTTGAAAGCAATTCTAGATTGCACAGTCTGTGATTGTCTGGTTTTAAGTCTTTGAAAATAGCCTCCCTGCCTCTGAAGGCACCATTTCAACCTGCCCTTTGGATATTTTCCTTCATCTGACTGCCTAATTAGATGAGTATGTGTTCTGTCTTCTGTCATTCAGCTATAAAAAGAAACTGGTAGCTGTGACCCTCAGTTGGCCCCAGGGAGTTCTAAGCAAGCAAGAGTCCCCTATGAGACAGGAGGTCTTGGTAGATCACTACCATCCTTTACCATTTTGCCCCCAACATGGCACTGGGAATTGAATCAGGGCCTTAGTCTGTCCCTTCACCTCTCCTGAGGCCCATGTATGACCCAGTGAAAGCCAAGTCCTCTGCAAGAGCTGGGGATGGGGAAGCTTCTGTGGCCCTTTCTGTTTGCACTGTTAATATCTTATTGACATTTGCACCTCCAAAATGCTGGGGTTCAGCCTTAAAAAGCCACACAGCACTATCCAAGCCAGGACATGGGTGAACCCCCAAAACATGATGCCATATAAGAGAAGCCAGACAAAAGGAAAACAGTATTATACAGTCCTGCTTCCTTGGACCAATGGGCATAGCCCCACTAATTTAGACAGAAAGTAGGAGAGCAGGTCTACTGGTGTATGGGGGAGGACAGGGATTTCTGGCTCCATGGATAGAGCTTCTCTTTGGGTTGATGGGAAGACTCTGGAGACAAATGGTGCACAGATTTAACTACAGTGAAGCATACATTGAAATTAGCTGAAATGGTAAAATTTTATGCTATCCTATGTTACCACAAATTTTAATATGAAATTCATTTTAAAAAGATTATTTAGCCAGACATGGTGGCCATTAATCCTAGCATTCAGAAAGTAGAGACAAGTGGATCTACAGAACTGGGTGATCCTATGCACCTGTGCCAAGAACCTGAAGTGGCATTACTTTTTTGATGACATGTCAGTGCATATCAAAACCTGTTAGAGGCCAGATATTTTGGTGTATGTCTTCAAACTTAGCAGTTAGGATGCAGAGGAAGGAGGATCTCTGAGTTCAAGGCCAGCCTTATCTACATAGTGGGTTCCAAGTCAACCAGTGCTAGCTAAATAGAGAGACCCTGTCTCAAAAACACACAAAAAATTAGGGAGGTAGACTCAGGTGAATTGCGGAGTATGAGGCCAGTTTGGGCTACACAGCAAGTTCTATATAGGGCATCCAGGGCACACAAAGAAACCCTGTCTTAACCTACCACCACCACCCCCCAAAAAAAAGAAAAAAGAAAAACAGAAGAATCTTTAGAAATGGGATTTTTTTTTTATTTTTTTGAGACAGTTTCTCCAGGCTGTCCTGGAGCTCACTGTGTAGACCAGGCTGTTGTTTGGTTTTTACTCCTTTGCTCTTTTGAGGGTCTGCCATCCAGCTCCCAAATGAATCACACACATGGAGTCATATTTTTACTTATATATGCCCAGCCTTAGCTTGGCTTGTTTCTTGCCAGCCTTTCTTACCTGAAATTATCCCACATAGCTTTTGGCTCTGGGCTTTTGCCTTTCTCTATTCCTGTATACCTTTCTTTACTTGCTGTGTGTCCTCTTGCAGAGGACCAGGGCGTCCAGCATCTGAATGGCAGCTTACACCTATCTGTAACTCCAGTTTCAGAGGTTCCATCTCCCTCTTTTGGCCTCTAAGAGTATCAGGCACACATGCAGGGCACATATATACATGCAGGCAAAATGCTTACGTACATAACATTTAAAAATTAATAAATCTTTTTAAAATGTGGTTTTTCAGCCATGAAAACTGGAATCTCAGCAATATGGAAGCAGAGGCAGGAAGATTGAAATTCAAGGCCAGCATAGACTAGAGAAAGATCCTATATCCCCTTGTCAAAAATATGATTCTAATCGGATGGTTCCCTTTTGAGCAATGTAACACAGCATTAATTGGCTAAAACTGGACTATCCTGGTACTCGCTCTGTAGACCAGGCTGGCCTTGAACTCACAGAGATCTGCCTGCCTCTGCCTCCTGAGTGCTGGGATCAAAGGCGTGCTCCACCACTGCCCAGCTGTTTTTGGCTTCTCAAGATTAGGTTTTTCAGTGTAACAACTCTGGAAGTCCTGGAACTCACTTTATAGACCAGGAAAGCAGAATTCAGTATTTTTGTGTCTTCTTGCATGATGATCTTATACTACAGGTAGAATAACTCCTCTGAATGAAATGGTTTTGTATTTGTGTCTTTCCAGTTTCCTGACTACCTACCCTGTTCAGTGATGTTGCAGCCAGCTCCACAAGACGTAGGGAAGGTAAGTTAAAGAAGAAATGCCACAGTCTCCTCCTCCTTCAATAGGCTTTTGGTTGGTTGTTTTAAGGCGGGGTCTTATGTAACTGAGACTGGCCTTGGACTCCTGATCTTCCTGCTGCCATCTTCCAAGTGCTGGGATTATAGTGATGAGCCACCACCCCAGGCTTTCAGATAGACCTTTAAAGTAGCTTTTTATTGTGGGAAATTTCAAATACACACAAAGATAAAGGGCCCAGCGTAAAGACTGTCCATGACCCATCACTCATCTCCAGCAATTATTAACCATGAACATTCTTCGGACAAGAGGTTAGATCCTCCTAGGTCTCACATGTTAAAGGAAAGCCACAGGCAACAGCAACAATACACAACTGCAGGACATATTAGATGGCCACAGGTCCTCGGGAAAAAGTCCCAGGCTTGCATGAGGGAGGGACAACAGATGCCATTCAAAGTCAGAATCCTTATACTGAGAAAAGGGAAAAGCCAGACTCTGGGGGGAGAGAGGCTCTGGTACTTGTGGCAGAGGGAACGTGCTCAGGCTGGTTCCTGCTAATTGAGGGGAGAAGGGATGAAGAGGGAGCTGAGGTCAGGGTGGAAAGCATAGGGAAGTCAGGTCTTGAGGACTTGGGGTGGAAGCAGAGTGACATGGGAGCCACCAGTGGGCCTGAATAAGCAGGCTCTGAGTCCCATGTATAAAGGGTCAAGAACGGACCTGGGGTTGGTCAGGCATGTGCTGTGAAGAGAAAGGGAGGGGAAGGGGGGTGTGACTAAGATGGACTAGGGACTTCAGGCCCGAAGGAAGGAATGAGGAGCAGAGGAGAAGGGGATAGATGGGTTGCCAGGACCCCAGGATCGACCATGGTGGCAGGTCTGAGCTGAGTATGAAGGACAGTAGTTGATAATGACAAGTGTAAGGACGGTGTCCCTCAGTGTGCTGTCATCACTCACTAGTGGGTCATGGGTCAGAAATGTCATTAAAATAAAAGCAGGTGGGATGGGATGGCACAGAAGAGAATTGAACTGGATGGAGTGGGATGGATGCTCTCAGAACTGGTCACATGTCACAAAAGGCCAATGTCACATTGTGAGAGTAGTTTCACATATATGTGTCTGTTTTCAAGGTCACACTGTAAATATTACTTGTAAAACATTTGAGTGCCATGGTTCAGACAGCTGAGATCAGGGACAAGGTGGTCACTCAAGAAAATGCAGGCTGGAGCTAAGAAAATACATTTGAGCCTTGTCAGATAGATCCACCAGTGCTCTTTCCAGGAGGCTCCAAACCCTGATTCTTAGATGACCTTTCTGAAGTTTTACAATCCTGTGTAGCCAGAGCCCCTCCCATCACCTCTATTCTTAGAGGGGAGAGTGTGTTAACTTGGTGGGTAGACTTCTGGCCTGAGAACCTCTAGTACCCTGGAGCTGAGGACTTGGTTGCTGCTGGGAGGCGTTAGGGACACATAGGAGATTATTTTACATATATGTTAATAAATATATAATACATGCATATAACACTATATATTATTATAATATATAGTACAATATATTTCATTACTATATAGGTTATATAATATAATGTCTTAATATTATATAATAGTTAACAGTACACAATATATGTGGGTACAAATTTTAAAGTCCATGATATATTACTATGTTTTTATTCAGTTTTACATAGCTATAGAGTGAGTACATCAGTCTAGGGGAGCCACACAGCCCAGGGAGTCCTATAGAAATATGTGGCTTGTTCAGAGACCAGCACAAACTGGGACATATGGGTGGGTTGGGTAAGTGATAGAACGGGGTGCCTATACATTGCCTGGCTGTTGGAAGTGGCACTTGTTTCTTTACAACCTATGGTTAGAGGTGCTATGTCCTTTAGTCTCAGAAGCTTTGGGTCTGTGGCTCAGCTGTCGCCATTGGCCTGTAGCATTGAGACACAAGAGACATCTTGCTTTCTGATTTTCTCTCTGGGCAGAGACCAGGATGTGCTGGGCCTACACAGGGAACTGAGGGATGGAGATAACAGACAAATGGTATTTACTCCATCAATGCAGGCTTAAAAGTTCTCTTTCACTTTGAAAATGATGTGCTCTTACAGTTTTACCTCATTTTGAAGGGGGGAAAAATCAACCATTGTAAGCCATTGCTGTCTGGCTTCAGTTGGCTTTAGGGAAATCACTGAGGTCAGAGTGTTTGCAACATGGCAGGACATTCATGTACACCACTCCCAGCCCCATGAACATCTGTGTCTGTCCCCTTTGTTGTGTGCAGCATTAGTCAGAAGCTTGTTCTGGGTGGACATTTGTGGACAAAGTAGATAAAGGTGTGGACCTACCAGGACTCAGGAGGCATGTCGACAAGCTGTCCTTCTGTAGGGCTCACAGGCCCCTGCTATTCCTTGTGCTGGCCAATTCTGTGTCAATTTCACACAGGCTAGTCATCCGAGAGGAGGCAGCCTCAGTTAAGAAAGCGCCTCCATAAGATCGGACTGTTGGCAAGCTTATAGAGCATTTTCGTAATTAGTGACTGATTGGGGAGGCCTCAGCCCACTGCAGGTGGGGCCATCCCTGGGCTGGTGGTCCCCGGTGCTATAAGAAAGCAGTGTGAGCAAACCATGCAAAGCAAACCAGTAAGCAGCACCGCTCCATGGTCTTTGCATCAGCTCCTGCCTCCAGGTTCCTGACCTATTTGCATTCCTGCCCTGACTTCCTTCAGTGATGACCAATGATGTGGAAGTGTGAGCCAAATAAACCTTTCCCTTCCCAACCTGCTTTTTTTGGTCATGGTGCTTTATCACAGGAGTAGTAACCTTAACTAGGGCACCCATCATGCTGATGCCAATGTTGAATTTGCAGCACACATCTCTACTAGTCTTCATGGATTAACCCCAAGCTAAGGTGAACAGCACAGCTAAGGGAAAAGCTAGGGCCATAGATCTGCTTGCAGGTGTGGCCTTCTGTCCTAGCAACAGAAGGGAAGTGCTAACCACTGACCTGTCTCTTGTCTCACACAGAGCTGTGGGGTCGACTTTGAGGTCAAAGCATTTGCCACAGACATCACAGATGGTGAAGAGGACAAGATCCCCAAGAAGTAAGCGTTCTCGCGTGGGACTGGGAAGGGTCTGGTGGTTTACAAGTAGGGACAAGAAACAGCCCCACTCTAGCCAGGTAGTGGTAGCATGTGCCTTTAATTCCAGCACTTGGGAGGCAGAGGCCAGTGTATCTGTGAGTTTGAAGCCAGGCTGATCTTCAAAGCTACACAAAATGGTTGGGGGCAATAATTAAATCATATGGGGTGGGGGGATAAAAGGTAATGACAGTGGGCTCAGGGACCCAGGCCCCCAAACCTCCCAGGTCATTTCTTTCATTTTCTCCCTTTTATTTTCTCTTTTTAATTTTTCTTTTCTTGTAAAATGGTATCACTCTGTAGCTAAGAATGGCCTAGAACTTATGAGGGTGGTCGTTATGCCTCAGCTCCTAAGATACCATGTCTATCTTTTTCTTTCTTAAAACACTCCTTAAACTTAGGATACAGTGCATGCACTAAGAAGCCTATGATTCTAAGCACTTTTAAACGCGTAACTCCACAACACGAAGTATATTCACAATGTTTTGCCATCATCAGAATCCAAATCAAAGCCTTTGTGTCATCCCAAACAGAATCTCTGTCACCAATAAACATTCCTCCTACCAACCAGGTGCTCCATTTTCCTTTAAATTATTTTTGAGAACTTCATACATATATGCAGTGAAATACGATGACACACATCTCCACTTTCTTTTCTTTTCTCCCCTCTCCCTCTTAACTCTGTGTCTCCTTTTGATTTGATAACTCACTTTCACTCCTGAGGCTCCATCCAGCCCATCCCGTCCCACATTGTGCTCATACTCAGCATCCACATCTCCCAGTGCTGGTGTTTCACTGCGCATCTGACCCATCACACTGTACAGACTAGCAAGCACTCTCCCGAGCTCTGTGCTTTTCATGCTTATGACAGCGACAGTGTGTCACAGTCGCACAGCGCTCTATAGTCTGGCCACAGAAGGCATCTGAAACCATGCAGGCTCTCCCGAGAGGAGGCTAAGTGGAGTCTGACAGGATGAAGGGGATCCTTGAGGGCACTGCTGGTTCAGCGTTCAGTTCCTGGGATCATGGAAGAGAGATTAGTGCAGCACACACACACCCATTCTCCCACGGGCCCGTGGAGGGTCAGTTTGCAGATGGGTGGGGGTGGGGTACCAACCAGGAACCCTGGACGTTTTCTCCTCAGGAGCTCTGTGCGGTTGCTGATCCGGAAAGTGCAGCATGCCCCTCCTGAGATGGGCCCCCAGCCCTGTGCTGAGGCATCCTGGCAGTTCTTCATGTCTGACAAGCCTCTGAACCTCTCAGTCTCCCTCAGCAAAGAGGTAATCCACATCCCCATGGCCATTCAGCTCTGGGGTCTAGACTAAAGCCTCACTGTGTGGACACATCCCAAGTCACCTTGTTTCTGCCATTGTGGAAACATGGATGTTTGCAATTTGCCAGCTTACTTCCATTACTTTGGAGCTAGTCACCATGAGCCACCATGGCTTACCATTGCACTTGTCGGCTAGCCCAATAGACTGGGGGCTGTAAGCATACTTCTCCTCCCATCCACCTTGGCCATTTTCCACTCCTGTCTCTCAGGCTGTGTTGCTCACTGTACTACTTAATATTGCTCACTTCCTTGGGAAATTGAGATTTCATAGAAAACTCACAGGGTAGCCATGTCAAGAGTGATGCCATCCGTGAGGAGAGTCGTGGCAGTAGAAGGTAAGAGCTGCTGGCCAAGGCTCTTGTGATCCAGAGTCAGTGATATACAGGTTAGCCAGTGCCACATGTATTATATATACACGTGTGTTTGTGTGTGTGTGCCCACCCAGAGCTGGATAACATAAGGTGTGGCTGGGTAAAGCTCCATGATCCAGCTTTTCTAGTGTCTTCTTTTCATTTCACACATCCCATCCCCAAACAATGAATCAAGGCAGGAATTTCAAAGAGCTAGTTAAATCACACCCACAGTGAAGAACAGAGACAAACGAATGCATGCATGCTCACTGGCTCGCTTACATTCAACTTGTTTCCTCCACTCTTTTTTTTTCAAGACCGGGTTTCTCTGTATTGTTTTGGAGCCTGTCCTGGAACTCTCTCTGTAGACCAGGCTGGCCTGGAACTCATAGTGATCCACCTGCCTCTGCCTCCTCAGTGCTGGGAGTAAAGGCGTGGGCCACCACCACCTGGCTTTCTCCACTCTTAATACAGTTCAGGACCCCCTGCCTGGGGAGTGGTGCTGCCCACATCAACTAACAATCAGCACAGTTCCCGCCCCCCACAGACCCACCTTATGTAGACAGTCCTTCATCAAGACTGTCCTCCCAGGTGATGGTTGGTTGCGTCAAGTTGACAAAGCTGACCATCACACCCCTCGGCCTCCTTGGCCTTCTGCAGAGAAGGGGCTGAAGGTGTCCATACTCTTCTCTAGAGGAAATGTTGCTATCATTTTAGCATCTCTAATACTGGGGGTGTTCAGCCCTATTCATTGGAAAGGGATTAAGAAAATCTTGGTGTAGAGAGCCCTCCGATACAGTTCCACCCCACTGCAATCCATCCTTCTGATGTCTCTCTCACTTTTCAGATATATTTCCATGGGGAACCCATCCCTGTGACTGTGACAGTGACCAACAACACAGAGAAGACTGTGAAGAAGATTAAAGTATTAGGTAGGACCTTCTAGAACTCTCAACCTCGTGCTGTTTCCTAGGGGCCACTCTAACTTGATAAGTCTCCACCTCACCTGTGTCCTTGGGTTTGCTTGCTGTTGCTGCTATCATTGACAATGGGACCTTAAAGAGAGAAGGGTCTTAAAAGTCAGCACATTCCCGGAGCTGTGGTGGCGCATGCCTTTAATCCCAGCACTTGGGAGGCAGAGGCAGGCAGATCTCTGAGTTGGAGACCAGCCTGGTCTACAAGAGCTAGTTCCAGGACAAGCTCCAAAGCCACAGAGAAACCCTGACTTGAAAAACCAAGGGGAAAAAAAGTCATCACATTCTGGCGATGGACATATCTCATTTGGTAGTGCATGCAGGAAACCCTAGGTTCAATCCTAACACCATATAAACAGGTGGTATACACCTAAAATGTCAGCACTTGGGTGGTAGAAGCAGGAAGATCAGAAGGTCAAGGTTGTCCTTGGTTATGTCTAGATTGGTCTACATTAAGGCCAGCCTCAGTGACATATCTAGATATGCCTGTGAGCCCCTACCTCAAAATAAGGCATTGCATTCACCATCATGGTCTCTTAGGCTGCCTTTTGTCCTGGTACTTTGTCTCCTCTCCTATAGATGGCCTTCCCATCCTCCCATGATCATGCCTCCCCAGAGATAGCCCCCTGAGCCAGGCCTCACTTGGGAAGTCTAGGGAGAAGCTTCTCTTTGTATTTGTTGGTTGGTTTAATTATTTATTTAATGTGTATGGGTGTTTTCCTGCATGTATGTCTGTACCATGTGCATGCAGTGCCTGTGGAGGCCAGAAGAGCCATCAGATCCCCTGGAACAGGTGGTTGTTTGCTGCTATTTAGGTTTTGGGACTTGAACCTGGGTCCTCTGGAAGGACAGCCAATGTTCCTAACCACTCCGCCATCTCTCCAGTCCCACTTCCCTTTTTGGACAAGTGGTAGTTTTTATTGATAAATACAGCAAGAGTATGGAGCAAGGAACTAGATTTGAAAACACTCGGCTTAATTTGAGGGCTCCTGGTGTGTCACCCTGGAGTCCCAGTTGGTTCCCACAGCAGTGGCTCCTCACCCACCTTACCAGGCCTAGAGGCACTAAGAGGTTCCACAAAGAATGACCAAGTGGGGAGGATCAACTCTGTTACTTGCTGCAGTGGAATCACCCCACCCCGCCTCCACTGCTCCTGTATATTAGTTCCTCAACTCAAAGCCCATCCGAGTGCAGGGATTAGAGCCTTGTGGCATACACCTGCAATCCTGCCACTCAGGAGACTCAGGCAGGAGGATTAGGAGTTTGAGGCCAGTCTGGCTGCCATACCTAGTTTTTATCTCAAAACATTAAAAGTCTAAAACAGCAACAACAAAATGTGTAGGTCTTTTGGAACAAACAAAACCCACAATGGATTGACCTGGGAGAGTAAATTCAGACTTCAGCTTCCAACTAAAACCTTTGATGGCCACAATGAGGTAGATTTACAGTGTGAGGGTAATGTTAGCCATCCCAGATTACCCAGGACAGAGGATACAGGAACTTCAATGTTAACATAGGCATTGTAGATGGATCAGAAGTTCAAGGCCATGCAGAGGCCAGCCTGGATTATATGAAGTCCCATTTTTTAAAAAGTTAGAGATATTGCTAGTTGGTAGCATGCTTACTGGGTGTAGGCAAGGTCCTGGGTTTAATCTCCAGTGTGTACACAACACACACACACACACACACACACACACACACACACACACACACAGTTTGAATGTGCCCACTGAAAACTCATGTGTTTGAAATTTGATCCTTACACTCATACTTTAATGATATTTGCAGGTGAGACTTTGGGAAGTAGCTAGGGTCAAATGAGGTTATGAGGAAGGACCTGTAATGACATTAGTGGCTTTGTAAGAAGTAAAGAGACTTAAATTAGCTCAGCTGCCCTGCCCCCACCATTTGAGGTCCCCTGCTATTAGAATCAAACAGGAAGGCCCTTATCAGATGCCAGCACCACTTGGGATTCCCAGGTTCCAGAGCCAGGGGCTGGTTAGTTTTCCATTCTTTATAAGTAGTCTTGCCTATGATATTCAGCTATAGCAACAGAAAGTGGACTGACATGTTCCTCTTTCCCTGTTTGTCCATCAAAGATGAAGTTCAGATCGTGTGCATGCATATTAGAGACTGTGGTTTTTTTTTCATATTGCCAATATGAATATTAATTTAGCCTTGTTTTATGTTGGTTTAGGTCTCTGTAGGACTGAATTATTCAGCATATTGTATGTAGTGCCAATACCCTGATCTGTGTGGTAGAGTCTATCTATCTGTCCATTCAGGCTGCTGTTGCAAAAAATAGCATAAATTAGGTGGCTCACACACACTGAGATGTGGGCCTCAAACGTGTCATCCTCCTGCACCTGCCTCCCTAGTACTGATATTTGCAGGGATATGCCACTCTATCCAGATAATAACAAACAGTATTTCTGGCAGTTCTGGAAGCTGGGGAGTTCAAGAACGAGGTTCTGGAAGATTGGTTTGATGAGGATCTTGTCCTCCAATAAGTTCCTAAAACCTCCTTTTCAAGGCTACTCATCCTGTTTATGCGTGTGCCAGCCCCATGACCACATCACTTCGCCCCAAAGCCCTCCTCTTAATAATGGATGCCTTCTTGGGCTAGTGAGATGAACCGGTAAAAGTGCTTGTTTCCCAGCCTGATGAAATGAGTTTCATTTCATCATGTGGGTTGATATCCAGAACCCACATGGTGGAACGAGAGAACTGACTCCAACAAGTTGTCCTCTGACCCCCAGACAAGGGCCTTGACATGTACACTGCTCCTTCTAATTGTGAAAATGTAAGAGATAATGTCACTTAATAATTTCAATTTCAAAAGAACAGAAGCAAACTTTCAGAAACAGCAGCAAAATCCATAATGTATCATTAGAATACTTGCATTCAAAATGATTTCAGCATAGTGTGGGTGGTACATGCTTGTAATGCTTGCACTTGGGAGCCTGAGGCAGTATTGTGAGCTTTAGGCCTGCCTTTGGTGCACAGTACAACCTGTTTCAAAATAAAATACTTCTCAGAGTTCATTGATTACTGATAGCAGAACTAATGGCCTTGAAAGAAACTGTTGCATTTTCTGAAACAAAATGTTAATAGCTTTCTATAACTTAGGCACATGATAGGTGCTTTAAATTGTTTCAGCTAGGTGGGGGTGGTGCACACCTTTAATCCCAGCACTCAGCTTCAGAGGCAGTGGATCTTTGTGAGTTCAAGACCAACCTAGTCTACAGAATAAGTTCCAGGACAGCCAGGGCTACACAGAGAAACACTGTCTTGAAAAGCCAACAAATTTTATTTTCTTTTTATCCTCAAGCTTGATTTTAAGACATTAAAAAGCATCTCTAAAAATGTTTTAAGTTTTCCAGGTAGGCTTTGCATATACCCTTAATCCTAGTAGCTTGGGAGTTAGAGGCAGGCAGATCTCTGAGTTTGAGGATAACTTGGTCTACAGAGCAAGTTCCAGGACAGCCAGGACTACACAGAGAAACACTGTCTCGAGAAACCAAAACAACAGCAAAAATTTTTAATTGATTTTATTTTTCTTGTTGCAACAGGATCTCATATAGCTCAGGTTGCAGCTGAGATTGTCCCTGAACTGCTGATCCCCTGCCTTGCCCTTCCAAGTCTTTCAGGCATGAGCCACCAGCCTCAGCTTCATTGTTACTCTGTTGTTTTCTGAGGCAGGGCCTTTCTTGTCCATACTGCTATGTGGACTAGGCTAGCCTCAAGCTAGCAGAGTCCCTCTTGTCTCTGCCTTCTGAGTGCTAGGGTTTATATGTGTTCATCACACACACGAAGAGACAGAGGACAATCTCAAGTCTGGTTCCTTGGGTACACTTTTTGGGGGGAACAAGATTTCTTATTGGCCTGGAGCTCACCAAATAAACTAGGCCAGCTAGTAAGCAAGCCCTAGGGATTCATTCACCTGTGTCTGCCTCCCAAGTGCTCGGATATGTGTCTACTGGAGACTGAGTGCAGATCTTTGTGCTTGCAAGGCACAAGGCTATCTCCCCAGCCCATTTTTGCTTTATATTTGTGTGTGTGTGTGTGTGTGTGTGTGTGTGTGTGTGTGTGTGTGTACGTGTGTGTGCCACATCATATGTGTGGAAATCAGAGAACCACCTGTGTGAATCAGTTCTCTCCTCTCCTTCCATCCTATGGGTTCCAGTAATTGAACTCATGACATCAGACTTAGTGACATTACCCCAGTGCCAGCCTGTCTTTTACTCTTCAGACCAATCCTATGCAATCATCACTCTCTTTTTCCTGGTGGGGAAACTGAGGCTTAGGGGAACTAAAGAATTTCCCCCATAGAGATTTGAGCCTAAGTCGTCAGGCTGCAGAGCCATCTTCCCTGTCCACGGTATCATACCATGTATGGGTCCCCTGTTACTTCTGGCAGGGTCTGGGCTTAGGGACTGGGAAGACAGTACTCCTTCTGTAAGATAGAGACCAATGGAAAGGGGCTGGGTTTGTAGGTGAGTACATTGTGACTTCTGGGATGCTGAAGACACAATGTCTTTAGATAAGGACACCCAATACAAATCATAGGCTGGAAGGGGACTCCTGGGAGCCGAATCTGAGAGCCTGGTGTTTTGGTGGGAATTGACTCAGAGCAAGTCACTGGTGTACAGAGATGGCCTGAAACCAGACCTTGAAAATGTGTACCCTTTAAGCTGGGGGCGGAGAAGGCCAGAACTAGGTTCAAATGGTCTGTGTGTCTCCTGCAAGGCACGAGGGGCTGCACTGTTGACCCCACTCCTGTCTTCCCATTGCAGTGGAACAAGTAGCCAATGTGGTTCTCTACTCAAGTGATTATTACGTCAAACCTGTGGCCGCGGAGGAAGCACAGTAAGTAGCGGTTGCCTTTCCACTTCCTGGGCGCCCAGCCCACTTTGTCAACTTCCTCTTCTGAAGAGGGAACTAGAATGCCCCTCCAGGCCCCCAGCCTGTGCTTTCTTCCCCTTTTCTCACATCAAGGGCTACAAAGCAAGTCATCCTCTAAGCTATGTGTTTACTTGGCCCCTGGGGCCCATCTGTTAGGCTGAGAGATCAGGCTTCATAAACAAGGGATCAGAGGGGAAAAATTAAGGAGAAACATCACCATGGGAGCAGCAGGGACTCTGTATATCTTTGGAATGTGTTGATAGGAATTGGGTGCTCTGTCCATACCCAGAAGATGACTAAATGAGCTATCAGCCCTAGGCTAAGACACACATATATGTATGTATGTATGTATGTATGTATGTATGTATGTATATATATATGTGTGTGTATATGTATATATATATATATGTTTAATAGAGATATTTTAGGAATTGAGATGTCTCCATAGTTAAGAGCAAATACTGCTCTTATAGAGGATTTCAGTTTGTTTCCACTACCCACGTTAGGTGGCTCACAAATGCCTGTAACTTCAACTCCAGGAAATCTGATACCCCTGGCCTCTGTAGACACACACACACACACACACACACACACACACACACACAAATAAATATTTTTAAAAGACATTTTAATATATGAAGGTCAAGAGAAAGAGAGCTGCATAGCTTAGAAAACACAGAAAATACCCAAGAACATTGGTCTGGGCTTCTCAAGAGAATCGCAGAAAGGGAGACCTGTCCAAGTGTGGGTAGGAGCTTCTACAGCCATTGATGACGATATCTTTTGATCATCTCATCAGCTTGAAAATCTTGTAGCAGTGACAACTGGACTTGAAAACTGGGTCCATTCTGAGCTCTTTGCCAATGACTTTCTTCCTTCATTGGACTGAAAAGGCACACAGAATCCCTCAATAGGTTCTTAGTGCTTACATGAGGCCTGCCGGGGGTTCTGCTCTGTGCTAGGAGGCCAGGTTCTTAGTACACAGGCTGGGTAGAAACTTGGATATGCATTTCCACTTTGTCTAGCTAGCATGTTCTATCATTACCAGGGTGACAGGAAGGTTGGGGTGGAAGGGAGGGGTAGGTAGTAAGGAAAGAAAACAAACTATTTTCATAGTAAAGGAAAACTGAGATCACATTATGTATTTAAAATCTTAGCCAGCTGGTGGTGGCACACACTTTTAATCCCAGCACTCAGGAGACAGAGGCAGGTGGATCTCTGTGAGTTTGAGGACAACCTGGTTTACAAAGTGAGTTCCAGGGCAGTCTGGGCTACACAGAGAAACCCTGCTTCAGAAAACCAAATACATATGTATATACATAATACATACATACATAAAATAAAATCCAACTTTGTAGTATGCTACTACTCAAAACAAAGACAGCCTTGCATTTAAGTATAGTGTACAGAGTTAAGAAAAAGAGGAGAACTTTATAGCTGACTTCCTTATGCCAGGCCGGTCTGTTCCACATTTGGTTCAAGGGGTAGGGAGTCTTGGCCTGGCCTCTCAGCAGATGCTCCATAACTGGGGTTCATTGTCCTGAGAGATATAGCCTATTTCCTGTTTCTCGTTCAAAGATTAGTGTGCTTTTTGGACAGAGTGATCCTCAGGAAAGTGAAAAACATTCTGAAATTTCCCTGAGGGCAGGAGGAGTCTAAAAATGGGGCTGGATCACATTAGCTCTTTCACTATTGGGGTAAATCCCTGAGGAAACACTGTCAGAGGGAATGCCTGTTTCTATTCACAGTTTGGGTCTATCACAGCAGGGTGGGCGTGGCAGAGCAGATAGCTCAGGCAATAGAGAGGATGCTGAGCTCGCAGGATTTCTCTCCCTTCTCCCTCTTTGATGGCAGCCAGGCTTCCAGCCAATGAGATGGTGCTATTTGTATTCAGGACAGTCTTCCCCTCTGGGTTAATCTTCTCTGGAAATGTTCTTTAGACACATCCAGAGTTGTGCTTTTGAAATCTCCTGGGCACTTCTCAAGAAAATCCGGTTAAGACTAATGCTCACACTGGTCTCAAAATAGAGGCCACTCAGAAGGCTGTAGCACCCAAGCCACTCATCTGGACACACTCAGATCCTGGGACTCTGGTGGGCTGGCTTCCTCAAACCAGACTTCAAAGATGCTGCTGCTGATACAGTCTGGGATCCTAATGGCCTGGGCACAGCTGTAGGCCTTGCATAGTCCTTCAGCAAATTCTACAACAATAAAGGCTGGCATTCTATCTCCGAGGGCCCCTCCTGTGACAATCAAGCTGGAGAGAGTTCACCATGACCCAGGTGGGAGGATATGGCCACCCCTAGCTCAAGCAAAACATTGCAAAGGGCTTACTGTACTCACCAGAGACAGGAGAAGCTGGAGTTATTTAGACCCCTCATGGAGAACAAACAGGGAAGTCCTTCCCATGGGATATCTGGGAACTCATTTAGGAAGTAGTCTTGATGCTGGCTTCCAGCCAACATTTGTAGGCCACACCCTGCCTTCTGCCCTCAGCACAAGCCTGGTGGGTAGTATGTGTATTGTAGAAGGAATATCCAGCCCAGATAATGATTTGGGACCCTAGGATTGATGTGTCCCCAACTGAGTCCCAGAATTGCCCCTTGGCACAGGGTTCCTTTCTATCTACACAGGGAAACCCTCGGGCCCTGAAGAAGCCCCAGGAAAGAAAGAGGTGTGCTGCTTTGAAAGAAAGCAGAGTAATCTGCCTCTGTTACGGGTCCACCATCAGTCACGCACCAACTGTCCTTTTATGGACAGTTTTTGGCTACAGTGCTACAGTGACCCTGTCTGAGCTTTTTTTTTTTTTTTTTTTTTTTTGCTGACACTGACCCAAAGATTCTGCTGCCTATTGTGGGATTCAGGAAGTCTCCAGAGGAGTCTTGAACCTTTAGGCTAGTTGGTCTTGTCTGTGTTTTTCTTCTCTCTCTCTCTCTCTCTCTCTCTCTCTCTCTCTCTCGGTCTCTCTCTCTCTCTCTGTCTCTCTCTATCCCTCTCTCTCCCTTTCTCCCTCCCTCCCTCCCTCCTTCTCCCTCCCCCTCTCTTTCTTTCTTTCTTTTTTTTTTTTTAAAGACAGGATCTCTATATATCCTGGAGCTCACTATGTAGACCAGGATGGTCTTGAGTTCACAGAGACCCTCTTTACCTTGTAAGGGGACTTTGACTGTGCAAATGCTCGTGGCAGATAGGATCTTGAGGTGTTGATGGTGGCTGTGACAGCCATAAACTTTCTGTGGTTCTTCCTCAAGAGAAAAAGTGCAGCCAAACAGCACTTTGACCAAGACACTAGTGCTGGTGCCCTTGCTGGCTAACAACAGAGAGAGAAGAGGCCTTGCGCTGGACGGGAGGATCAAGCATGAGGACACAAACCTGGCCTCCAGCACCATGTGAGTCCCGTAGAGTGTGGATTGGGCCATCAGTGCAGGCCGGTACTGGGCTGCCCCAAGGGTCACAGATGGACACATCATCCTTACACCCTACCACAGTGCCACTGCCTGCCCTCTCGGTGGCCATGGCCAAGTTCCTTGAGCTTCCTGAGACCCTCAGTTTTCCTGTCTGTAGAGTCTCACATGCCAGTGATGAAGACCAATTGGACAGTGTATATAAAGTGTGGTGTCTGACACTCAAAAGTGTCCCAGAAATGTCAGTTACATCCGAAAGAATTGCTGGCCCATGTGGTACCCTGAACATGTAAACTGAGTTACCATATTTGGCTATTTTCATTCATTCGTTTCCATCCGAAAAGACTGGAAGACCTACTGGCTACTAGTAGGCACCAGATTTTCATAAAAGAAGGGGTGACTTGCCTGATTTGTCTTGGAGAACCACTAGCTGGATTTAGGGGCAAAGATTTAGGGGAGAAAAATAGTCCACAGTGAAGCTAGCTGCTAGCTGCCCCCTTGGCTTGATCTGCTGGGAGGTGTGAGGCAGGAATGGGAGATCTAGGCTTGAGACCTTTCACTTTTCCTCTCCCATAGGATGTGCTGGGGTCTCCCTCCTGGCCCCACTAGACCCCCCTAGAGGTGATGACAGAAGAAAGGGAGTGTCCTGACCCATATGGACCTGTAGCTCACATTCTGTGAGGTCATTGGTGGGGACAGTGAATATTTGCCCGAATGAAGGTGGGAATCAAGGGGTTTCTGAGGGTAATTTGCCAGCTGTCTGTTAGATTCTAAAGTGTGTTCATGGAACTCCGGGGAAAGAAAGCTGACACCCCAGATCAATTTAAGGGAGCAATGATCTGATGCCAAAGGCTCACACTGCTGCAAAGTCAGTTGTACAGTGCATGGCGTGGTTTACAAGAGCTCACACCTCTCCACACCTTTGTGAAGAAGCTGCACTCAAGCTTCCTTTTTATACGGTAGGCAGGTATCCCTCAGTAGAAACAGGAGGAGAAACTCGTGGAGGGTCTCTGGATGAGTTAATTGTTGAACAAGTCCACTCAGGAAAATGACAGGGAGGGTCCTTGCAGTCGAAGGCATGTTCTGTTCCCCATTATGGGGCCTTCCATAAACACAGGTTTACCAGCCAATCCCAGCAAGAGTGTGGTCTCAGCTTGTGCCTGTGGCTTTCGGCAGATGGTGATGCTCTTTGGGGAGTGTTGTGGTCCTAGAACATATGGTCCAGCAGCAGGGCCTCTGGGGCTGGACACTGTTCTCCCTGCCTGGCCTGGCCCCAGATCCCAGGACTGCCAAAATTTCTTCCTTCTGTTTCTTGCCTTCAGGGTCCTCCCTTGATATTTTGTTGTGGTTCATAGTAGCTTAGCTAGATTTCATGGTTATTTTTCATCTCATAATTCCTTTGTCAGACATCACAGGATACTTAAGTCTTCCATGTTGGGTCATAGGAGATAATAAACTGTGACAAAATGCCCACTGGGGAATTTGATTGAAGGTAGGAATTCCATACATGATCATAGAGCCTGGAGTCCCCCTTCACTCTCTCTGGTCATATCCCACACTCCTTGTCCATCCACATAAGGGAGATTTCCCTTGGTGTCAGGTGCCATGCTGGCTGCTGGGCACACAGAGCTTTTGGATGCAATCTGGAACAGTCATGATCCCGTGGTCAAGGTATAGGAGCGTGTTCTCTGTGCCTTTCTCCTGAGCAGATCACAGGAGACGGGGATCCCAGTGCTACCTGGCTGTCTCCAGGAAAGCTTTACATCTGGAGGCATTGGGGTACAGGAAAAGAGAAGAAGGGCCTCCTGGGCAGGTTTGGCGTTAGCAAGGGCATAGCTGGGTAGGATGTGGCAATGGAACCTCACAGATTGCTTGCTGAAACTGGAATCGTGGGCAGGGCAGGGCAGAGCAGGGAGAGGGAAGGCAGAGGAGAGTGAAATAGGCCAGAAGCCGAGCCTTGAAGAGGCCAGATGTTGTTCCATAGGTGAACACCATAGGGAAAGATCCAGAAAACCCACTTCACAGCCCCACAAGTGGATAGACAAGTGGTCCATTTACGGAATTCTCTAATTCCAAGACAACATCTTCAGAATGGTGACCCTGGCAGGAAAAGGATGGTTCCCACACTGGCTTTGCTCTCCTAATCCCCCTCCTTTTTTTTTTTTTTTTTTTTTTTGATTGGGTAGCATCAAGGAGGGCATCGACCGGACTGTCATGGGCATCCTGGTGTCATACCATATCAAGGTGAAGCTCACGGTGTCAGGGTAAGTGTTGGGTATTCCCTCTTTTGCCTCCTCCTCTCCTGAATGACTGGCAGGTGGACAGCAAATGCAGCCTGAGAAAGGTGCCTGCTGATGCCAACATAGAGTCTGGCGTGGTTCCATTTGTCAGTCTCTGCAGTGTTGTTGGAGGCGATGTGTACTGAAAAGCAAACTGAAATACATGCACTGTCGGTACCGCTGAGCGGAAGTGGGTGGCACACACAGCAGAAGCCGATGCGCAGGAATAACAGTCAGACTCTTTTGCAAAAGTAAATTGCCTTGCTCAGTTAAAAAAGAAAAACTGACGTCAGTTTAATTTTCAAACTTCAGAAAGACTTGCAGCTGCCTAATGAACTCTGTAATCTTCCTTTATTTGGGTTCAGTGTGCGGCATGAGCCACCTTGGGAGGCTGAGATAAGATTAAGACCATGACTAGCCTATGACACATAGTAAGACCCTGTTTTTGTTTTATAAATTGGGGCTGGATGTGCAGCTCAGCTGGCAGAGTGCTTGCCTAACAGGCACAAAGCCCTGCCTTTGCTCTACACCACCAAATAAACTGGACGTGGTTTCATATGGCTGTAATTCAGCATTGCAAGATAGAGACAGAAAGTTCAGAAGTTCAAGGCATCCTTGGCTACATAGACATTTTAAGGCCAGCCTGGGGTACATAAGACTGTCTTGAAAAACAAAACAAAACAAAAATAAAACCAAAAAAAATCAAGTATAGCATGTTGGTGTACACCTGTAGTCCCATCACTTGGGAAACAGAAGAAGGAAGATTGCTCTGAATTCAGGTACATCAAGGACTACAAATAAATAAATGTTTGTTTATATCTTTGACTTTTCTGTCCCTAAGGGGTTCTTTCCTTCCATTCCCTAACATGTAGTCTCATGATTAAGAGTCACCTTTTCATACAAAGGCACTGCTATTGAGAGTGCTAAAGAAGTATTTCCTTTTAATGACTTTATTTTTGTTTTCTATGTATGGGTACTCTGCCTACATGTGTGTAAATGTACTTTGGTGTCCACCTTCAATCCCAGCACATGGCAGACAGAGGCAAGTGGATCTTTATACGTTCAAGAACAGCCTGATCTAAGGCCATTCAGGGATATAGAGAAAGACCATCTTTGTCTCAAAAACAAAAATAAAATGAATAGCCAGTGCTCTTAACCATCTTTCAGCCATAAGAGACAGTGTCCTGTTTTTTGTTGTTGTTGTTGTTTTTGTGAAATAAATATGCTGGCCTTATTCCTGAAGGGCCTTTGTTAGCCTGGTCATGCATGCCCACACCACAATACCCCCAACCCTTTTTGTTTTGTTTTGTTTTGTTTTTTCCAGACAAGGTTTCTCTCTGTAGCTTTAGAGCCTGTCTTAGAACTATCTCTGTAGACTGACCTTGAACTCACAGAGATCCTCCTATCTTTGCCTCTGGAGTGCTGGGATTAAAGGCATGTGCCATGTCCTGCCTTTTTGAGAGTGGTTCTCACTATATAACCTAGAGTAAGGGTCTCATTTGCAGTCCCATGTCCTCTTCCTGAGGCCTCAGGTGTGTCTGGCCACCCACAGGGTGGCTGAGAATTTTTGTTTCTGTGGCTTATGCTGGATTCTACATGAATCTACTTTTTAACTAATCCTTTGGAGAAAGAGGGGACACCCTCAGTGGTTGCAGAGCATCTGAGAGTTGGGAGTCCCTGGGAGCCTGGAATCTGTGCTAGGGAGTGAGAGCCATGCTTACCAGGCTAGATGGAAGTCAGTCCTGCTTTTGAACCCCTGGTACCTGAGGTCATAGCACCTCTGGGAATTACTGTTTGCTTTGTGTTTTTTCTTCAGCTTTCTTGGAGAGCTCACATCCAGGTAAGCCTCATTGTCTTCCTTCACTCAGCTCCCTGTAAGCTGTTCAGCCTGGGGCTGAACAGAAACTGGTAAAAACTAGTTTCTGAGCAGCCCTGCTCAAAGATGCTGTAAATGATGCATGCTGACTTGTATGTGTTGTGAGAAGTGTTGCCTCAGACAAGAGGCTGGAGACCACACGGGCAAGGGCAAACACATACACACACACACACACACACACACACACACACACACACTCACACACACCACAGCCCTCAGAAAACAAACATACTCCATCCAGCTGTCATTTTTGTATGTAGGATGGGTACAAGCCACATAGGGTAAGTTTTACCATTTTAATCATTTTTAAACATATACAGTAGAATTAAATATATTTACAGTGTCAATCATCAATCACCACTACCTAAATTTTTACCCCCCCCCCAGGTTTTTTTATTTTAATCACTTTTTACATCTGTAAAAGAAAACTAGTGCTTGTTAAGCAATCACTCCTTTTCCTTCCTTGAAGACCCTGATGAATTCTGGTTGCTTTCTATCTGTATAGATTTCCCCACTGCTGGGGCTGGGGATGTAGCTCTGTTGGTAAAGCATTTGCCTAGCATGCAGGAAGCTTAGGGTTCAATTCCCAGAACAGCACACAACTGGGAATGGTGGTACATACCTGTAATCTCAGCATGGTGAAGCAGAGACGTGGTTGTCCTCATTTATGTAGGGATTTCTAGGCCATCAAGGGCTCCATGAGACCCTGTCTCAAAACAAACAAACAAACAAATGAACAAAAAACAATTTCCATATGTGGCCTTTGTGGTTGGCTTCTTTTTTTTTCCCCTGGTTTTTTTTTTTTTTTTTTTTTTTTTTTTGAGACAGGGTTTCTCTGTATTCCTTTGGAGCCTGTCCTGAAACTAGCTCTGTAGACTGACATCCACCTGCCTCTGCCTCCTGAGTGCTGGCATTAAAGGCAAGCGCCACCAAATGCCCAGCTGGCTTCTTTTAACATTTTCAAGACTTAATTGTGTTGTAGCATCTACTATAGTGCATTCCTTTTCATGACTGGGTAATATTCGATTATGTAGATATACCACATTTTGTTTATATTTTTTGTTGGTGGTATTGATGTAAAGGTATAGCTTACACCTCAAAGAGAATGAGAATTTTTACTCTGGATCTCAGTATGAGTGATGTTGAACTGGAAACACAGATTGGAGTCTCCAGATATCATATTCTAACATGGTGACAGTTTTATGAGGGTTTTTTTTTTTTTTTTGTTTCGTTTTGTTTTTTGTAGTAAAATAACAAAGAAAATAACGAATCAAGGTGTTTTAAAAAAATTCTTTGATGGGAGCCGGGAGTTGGTGGCACACGCCTTTAATGCCAGTGTTCATGAGGCAGAGGCAGGTGGATCTCTGAGTTCAAGGCCAGCCTGGTCTACAGAGCTAGTTCCAGGACAGACTCCAAAGCTATACTGAGAAACCCTGTCTTGAAAAACAAACAAAACAAAATAAAAAATGCTTTGGTGGGAACATAAGTTGGGCAGGTTGTAGTGAGATGGGAAATCTCTGCTGTAGACTTCAGGTGCTTTCCTGGTGGAAGCTAGGGTCTGTTTGTACATTCCTCAAAGGATTTTATCTGATAGTCACAGGATGCCAGATCAAATACAAGGATAGGCAATGAATGGCTGCTAAGAGCTAAAGTAGACCATGATAATTCGACTTTAGAGCTGCAATATTCCTACTCCCCACAGTCACAGGATATCTAGCCAATCATTCAGCCTTACAGAGTTGTTTGTTTGTTTTTAATAATGATACTGCTTCTTTTCCCCCTTGGAAACTTCACTTCCCAGAAGACACTTGAATTGCCTCTACCTTTTGGCAAAGGTGAATGGTGACACTTGTCTTTGGAACCATGCACAAAGAACCAACAAGTTTTATCTGAGACTTAGTCCTTTGTCTCGGCTCTTATCGTCTACTTCTATCCACCTGGGCTAGGGGCAGATTGACTGATTAGAACCTCTGTGATGTGGAGAGTTGGAATGTTGCAGGCCTGCAGCTGGGCTATCTCTTGCCCTTAATAGCCATTTACTACCCACCTCTGGGTTTGACTTGACATGCCATCTAGACCTAGTCTGCATCTGGGTCACCGTAAGCGGGTCAGTGCTGGGTAGGCTGCAGGAGTCCTGGGATGCCACTCTTTTCTCATCCCCTCTCTCCACATCCATTCCTAATCTTTCTTTCACTCTAACCCCGTCCCTTCTTTTCATATACATCCTAATGTGCCCCAAAGCATTTTAGTATTAGAGATGTGATGGACCCTGCCCCTCTCTTTTGCAAGAGATGGGTGTGCCCACTCTTGTACCAGCCTCACAGAGATTTTTCTTTTTTAAATATTATGATTAAGAGGGACTGAGGAGTTTATTTTCAGCCTTGAGGAGAAGTATAAAAGAGTAATGTATGCGCTACAGCGGAGGTTGGGTTAATTGTCTGTCTTAATTTTTACCTCCCTGATGTCCTGAAGTGTAGTCTAGCTGTCCAGACTTTTGTGTCTGATAGCCATGCTTCTCCATAGCACCCATCCATATTGTATAATGCGGACCGAGAACTTTAAAATTGTCCCACGACCCTGTCATGTGAGTAAACAGGCCAGCGAAAGCACCTCATGTGACACACACAGATGGAACAGTTTGTGTAGGCATAAAAAGGGGGTGCCAGGTGCCTTTGTGAAGTTGGTGAAAGGCATTTCCCGGTCCGATGTTGATCTTCAGCATAGGAGTCACCAGTGATGAGTACTACGTTATGTCCCTCAGCCATTTGTAGCCTGTGTCCCTGTTCCCCACGGGTCAGAGCTTTAAGGGGAGGCTGTGAACACTGACACCCACAGATGCAGTGCCATAGACTGGTTTCTAGAGGTGGCCACTGGGTCCACCTCCTCTGCTGTCCAGGGGTGAGGAGGACTGGGGCACTGAACTTCTAGTCTGATTTCCATATACTACAGTAACTTTTTTTTTTTTAATGCATATGAGTATTTTGCCTGCAAGTGTGTCTGTGCACCACTTGTGTCTGGTATCCACAGAGACCAGAAGGATGTGTTGAGTTTCTATGGAACTGGAGTTACAGATGGTTGTGAGCTTCCTTGTAGGTGCTGGGAATCCTCTGGAAGAACAGTTAATGCTCTAACTGCTGAGCCATCTCTCCAAACCTTCATAAAAATTTAAAATGTATTCAAATGAATAGGTCTTGCTGCAATGAACAGTTTTTCTCTTTTAAAGATTTAGTTTAAAGATTTTAAGGTATGTGTACATGAGTACATTTATTTGTGAAGTCCAGAAGTGGGTGTTGGATCCCCTGGGGCTGGAATTACAGGCAATTGTGAGCTAACTCTTGTGGGTGCTGAGAACTGAACCCAGAACCTCTGGGAGGGAAGCAGGTACTCCTGACTACAGAGCCATCTCTCCAGCCCCATGAATAGTTCCTATAACCAACTTTCCTGTAGGCTTCACCTCTTCCCACAGTCTTCAGGACAGCCAGGATAGAGGGTCTGAAAACACTAGCTGTCTCAGCCACGCCTGAGTGAAGTTCCTGGACCACATTCCAGGGAATACATTTCAAATTCCTGCCTGACCACTTCCTGGAGTCTTGTTTTGAATCTCACTGAATGAATCTTCTGGAGACTCGCAGAGGCCCCAATTTTGTGTTGTGTGATCTGTATCTCTCTCTCTCTCTCTCTCTCTCTCTCTCTCTCTCTCTCTCTCTCTCTCTCTCTCTCTCTGTGTGTGTGTGTGTGTGTGATCTGTCATGTCACTGTGTGTGTGAGATGTGTAACTGTGTGTGTGTGATATGTAACTGTGTGTGTGTGAGAGATCGGTAATGTAACTGTGTGTGCGATCTGTAATTGTGTGTGTGTGTGTGTGTGTGTATGTGATCTGTAACTGTGTATGTGTCTGCCTGTGTGTGCACTCACCAGCCTGTGTTCTTCCTTTTTTCCAGTGAAGTGGCCACTGAGGTGCCATTTCGCCTCATGCACCCACAGCCAGAGGACCCAGGTCAGTCATTCCCATCATCATCCAGGATGCCTCTTACCCATTATCCATGGCAGACTTATTGCACATTAATGTATCTGTAGTCTTCTTTGACTATCCCTCTGAGTATGGGTGTCATCCATAGGTGACAAGGTCACCCTGGAAGAGAGAGCTAGCTCCCCTACTGAGTCCTGGGTCTATCCTACCTCCTGTCTATGTGTGGAGGGTGTAGCAGTTCTATTCTCTATTGTGTGTTGATGACCTGGATTTTATTAGGGACAATGTCACTGCAGAAGCTCTGCTGTCCACAGACTTTGATTTAGATTTAGAGATGATATAAGGGACAAAACCTCTGAAAAGCCCCAGGCATTGCTTTATGTAGACACAAAAGGCCTCTCATTTGGATGTGCCAACAGGCATTTAGAAGGTGATATATATTTCTGAAAGCAGTGATAGTGATGAGAGTACAGAAAATACTAGAAAAGGCCAGCCTTGATTCCGACTGTCTCCATTCATTTGACAATCCATCCACACACTCTTGTGTGGATGCTAAATGAAGCAGTAGTTACACACGTCTGTGAACACACTGAGACTCTCCCATCGTCCCTGCAAAGATGCAAATGGGAGGTTCTGAGAAGAGAAGCTGAATGGAGGTAGGCATGCTGGTATATGCCTGTAATCCCAGTGCTCAGGAGGCTGAGGCAGGAGGATGGCAAGTTTGAAGACAGCCTAGATTATTTATAATAGCAAGACTATTAAAAAACAATGTCTCAAAGTATCTTTTCCAAATATCTTAGATTTAAACCCTCAGTACTCTTTGCCAAAAGCTTCTCTTTGGGGAAAAATACAGCCTAGTCATATATTTTTGTTCATTTATGTTTGTCTCATTAAAATGCTATTTTAAACATTTTTTTTTTTGGAGACCAATCAGGATGGCAATCCAGGAAAACATAGATTCAAGCAGTCTTGTAAATGTACTCCTTTATCCTGGCTTCTCCCCTCCCTGCCTCCCTCCCTCCCTCTCTCCCTCCCTCTCTCCTCCTCCCTTTCTTCCTTCTCTCCCTCTCTTCCTTCCTCCCTTCCTTTCCTTTTTCTCTTTCTCCACCCCCCCCAGCCAGGATGAACTTAACATTTACACACATTAGGCAAGTGTTCTAATACTCATCCCCAGCTGCCTAAACCTCCCCCCACCCAATGATGTGAGATTCAGATACCCTGGTTCCCTTCAAAAACATTGAAAATACAGTCTGCTGATGCTACAGTTATGCTGGGTAGTTTTCTGGAACTTTCTCTCTTTTTTGTTTTGTTTTTTGAGTCAAGGTTTCACTGTGTAGCTCTGGCTGTCCTGAAACTTACTTTGTAAATCAGGATGGCCTCAAACTCACAGAGATCCTCCCTCCTCTGCCTCCCAAGTGCTGGGACTAAAGGTGTGTGCCACCATCACCTGGATATTTTCTGGAACTTTCAATATAGGTGACTTACTTTGGAAAAACGGGAGTTATTCTCCCTTTGCTTAGAGTATTTTCACAGCCTTGTCATTACAGACCCTACATTAGACAACTCGTAATTTTAGGATAAAACAGTGATCTTTTGTGCTTAAGGTTTCAGAGAGTTAGGGCTGGAGAGATGGCTCAAAACCCAGATGTCAGGGTTGCTGTCCTTGTGCTCTACCTCTTCAAGCTCAAGTTTCCTTTACTCAATAAAATTCTAGGGTATCTCTTTCAATGGGAACTTTTATTTTATCTTAAAGATTTATTGTGATGAGGGTTGAATCTAAGGCCTAGGAGCTCTAGGAAAGTGCTTTATCCTTCTTTTGTTATTTTGAGATAGGGTTATGATGGTCCAGGCTTGTCACTTCAGCCACCAGGGATTGAGCAGGAGCATTGGGAATTCAAAGTTAGCCTAGCAACTTAGTGAGAACCTATCTCAAAAACAAACAAACAAACAAACAGTTGAAAGATGTCTGGGAGGCTGGAAGCTCAAAGTCATCCTCAGCCTGTGATGACTTTGAGGTTAACGTGGGATACACAAATCCTCATTAAAAATAATTAATTGATCTTCATTTCTCCCCTCCCTCCATCCTGGGCCTACAGCAAAGGAAAGGTGAGCCATCTGAATGCTGCTCTGAGTTGTTCTGTGTTTTGCGACTCCTCCCCCCCCCCCCAGACTCTGCTCGGAATGTCTGTGCTAATCCCTGTTTCCTTTTGCTTGTAAGAACTTAAGATGTGTGCACACATGGATATGCTGGATGTGTCTTTTATTCTGTAGGTTCTCTCTTTTTTTCCTCTTGCTTTTGTTTGTTAAAGAGCTTTTAAGCACAGTCTTAGTTAGGAGTGATGGCTTACCTTTTAATCCAGTTATGTGGGAGGCTGAGGCAGGAGGATCACTTCAAGTTCAAGGCCAGCCTGGTCTATAGAGTGAGGTTAACATGTTTTTGTGATTCTGTAACAAAAACAAAAGAAAAACAGAAAGACAACAAAAACCCTGAAAAGTCCCAAGGAAACAGGCATGGTCCCTGCTCCATCCTGGGAATGACATGGTCCTTGTTCATGCTGGGACTGGCATGGTCCCTTTTCCATCCTGGGAATGACATGGTCCCTGCTCCATCCTGGGGAATGGCATGGTCTTTGTTCCATCCTGGGGAATGGCATGGACCCTTTTCCATCCTGGGGGATGGCATGGTCCTTGTTCATGCTGGGAAAGGCATGGTCCCTGTTCATGCAGGGAATGACATGGCTCTTATTCCATCTGGGAGAACACATTCTGCTTGGATTGGTTCCTTTACTGCAGAAAGATGAGTGGTCTGTTTCATTCAGTGTTTCATCTTCAGCTTCAGAAAATGAGCACTGACTAACACATCATCTGTTTTCTTCTAGTATTCAGGATGAAAATTTGGTTTTTGAGGAGTTTGCTCGCCAAAATCTGCAAGATGCTGGAGAGAACACAGAAGGGAAGAAAGACGAGGAGGCGGGCCAGGATGAGTGAAGAGTTAGCCTGTTAGCCTAGATGCCTAGAAATGAACGAAGCCCCAGTAACCTTCCAGAATTATGCTAGATACGAAAGCATGAGTGTTCCTGCCAGAAATAAAGTCTGTGGGACCCTCTCTCTGATCATGACTCAGGCGATTGTCACTGACAAAAAGGACTCACATCATTGGGGTCTCTAGCACTTGGGAGTGAGGGGCAACATCCAGAAGGAAAGGCAGCCCTTCACGGAGTGGCTCAGTGCCACTGTGTTCTTCCAGTGGGACCTGGGGATTTCCAGAGCTTTCAGGCTGTTTCTCTGGACACACATGGGGTGGTGAGTAAGTTTAGTTTTCAGACCAATCCTGGCACCAGGGCTCCTTCAGAGGCTCCTGAGGTAACAGAGCAGAAAATAAACATAGACAAAAATACCCTTACAATTCCATTTCGGAGTCTAATCCCTGCTTGAGCTTTCAGTTGCTGGTCAAGTTTCTACTGGACAGAAGCAACCAAACAAGAAAACTGAACTGAACTGAAGAACCTGAGTTGCCACACCCAGTATGGGTGGCAACTATCAAGGTCCCAGGAACTCAGTTCAGAGGCTGGGACTGTCAGCCCGCAGGCCATTCCAGTGCCCAGCCTCTGCTCTCTGGTCCTGGATGGTACCTCTGGGGAAAGAGAATCTGGCTGGCTCAGCTTTGGCTTGGTGACCAACATCTCATGACCAGCAGTGGCAGAGCCCAGGCCTGGGGAAAGGGTTTATTAAGACAGATATACCTCATGATATTATTATTATTACAAAGAGGAGGAATGGAGAATGCTTGGGGTCAGACAAGCCCTTTCAATGGGAAGGCCATTCGTGGCCATGGTACCCAGCAACCTGTATTGTATCAAACAATTCTCTTGGCAGCCATGGATGGGGGTCTGGGTGTGTTCCGGGTAGGGGAAGGTGGGATGAATATGTGGCCCTCATCCATGTTTAGGAAGTAGGTTAAGAGGAGTCTGGAGATTTCTGTACAGTTCAGCCTATTCACAGTGTGTGTGTGTAGCTAATTACTTTTCTTATCATTGTGACAAAATACCTGACAGATGTAACTTAAAGAAGGAAGGTTTTATTTTGGCTTGTGGTGTGAGGAGATAGAGTCCATTGTGATTCGGGGAGCATGGGAAGCTGGTCCTACTACATCTGTGGTCAGAGAGATGAATGCTGGTGCTCACCATGTATTACCCCTCCCCCCCCCACTTTTTTCCAGGTTAAATCCCCTCCTCTTGGTTAAACCTTCTTAGAGATGCCTTCATAGAGACTCCCAGAGGTGTTTCTTAGGTAATTCTAAAAGCCACTCAAGTTGACAATGGAGATTACCCTCTACCGGTATACTGTTGGGATTGAGTTTCTGATGCCAAGAGCAGCAGTAGAGAGTGGTGGTTTTGTGTGCATGAAGGTGTCAACATCTGGATTTCAGACTGGTGTGTGCCGTGATGTCTGGGATTTGGATGTAGGCATAGTTACCAGCTATGGCTCCACATCTAATGCACTGGGTTCCACACAGACAAAGAAAGGCTTGGATCTGTGTGCTGATTTTTAGGTCTTCTGGTACTGGCAGAGATGAAGACTCAGTTCTGAAGCTAAGAAAACAATAAAAGTAGAAACTTGTGGGTTAGCAGGGCAGACACAGACTGTCATGTCTTGAACAGATAGATACCATTGCATAGCCCACCCCAGACATGGTATCCAGGCAAAGGGTTGGCATGCATTTGGGGGAGCCCACACTGTGCTTCCTCATGATCTTGTCCCCCTGCTTTTTGGTCAGGCACAGTCTGCAGTGGTTAGCTCCTGGTGGGTGGAGTTCCCTGCCAGCCAAGAAGGCTGGGACTCTGCCTAGTGGCTCCCGGTGAGAGAACCATCCTGTTGGTTCCTGCATTGCCTGACCCCAGGACATCCTAAGTCAGAGTGGGCATTAATAGGCCTGACCTTTGGAGCTTTGTGGGTGAGAGAGCCAGGAGGGGAGGGCTGAAGCCGGAGCCCTGGAGACCAGAGTCGGAACAGCGCTTGCCCTCCAAGTTATTTTGGTGCTAAAACATCCAAAACAGGCCTGCAGGTGCTGGTTTGTTTATACTGCAGCTGCAGAGGGAGTGGGGGCAGGAAACAAGCAGCCATGTGTGTGTGTGTGTGTGTGTGTGTGTGTGTGTGTTGGCTCAGTTCAGTCTGCACATACGCGTTCTTTGCTGGCATGCAGAATTCTCAGGAGACAGGAAGTCTGAGGGCAGGTTGACTACGTGGTCCAGAATTTTAGGGACAGGTGCAATGCAAAAACAACAAAAAATGGCACAAAGAGTTGAGAATGTTGTATGTACAAAGGAGCATTTGGGACAAAGTTGGTGGAAAAATTTGAGGACAAGTGCCTTTGCTCATTGCATCGCCCTAAGATAGATTGGTTTTTTTTTTTTTTTTTTTTTTTTTTTTTTTTTGTTGAATCCCTTCTCTCTTTCTATCAAAAGGGTCCTGGGGATCAAAGTCAGGTTGTCAGCCTTAGCAGCAAATGCCTTGACCCACTGAGTTCTCTCCCCAGCCCAGTGGAAGAACTTGGGACATGGTTCAGCATCCAGCAAACAAAAAACACTGGAGAAACATAGGTTCCTGCCATCTATTGAGTGCCTGCCTTGTGCCAGGCACTTCACGAAATAGCCAGTTGCTGCAAGAAGTGATATTACCACCACCCATTTGTTAGGTGAGAAAGTCAGTTCAGAGAGAGTAGGTAGAAGAGTTTGACAGGCCAGAGAGGAGAGCAGAATGTTTATGACTAAACAATGGTCATTCACATGTACTTGTAAGAGCCCTGATGGGGCTGCTGCTTTATCCAATGGCCTCATTTTGGAAAGCTATAGTAGTACAATATTGCAGGCATGTGCCTACTTTGGTATAGTCCCCCTTTCTGGCTTGAATCTCCCCGATGGTTTTCCGGCTCTTTTGACGTGTTTTATTGCCTGCATCCCCATTCATTTCACAGGTCAGATAGTGTACAGGTCCCAGGGTGGGGTGGGGCATGTAGGGGGAGAAGTCTTGCACATTTAGAAGTTTGTGTGTGGTGGGGTGATCATGAGGTTGTCACAAATATCCTGGGGGCCGGGGGTGGGGGAATCTCTCAGTCAGTCTCAGTGAGAAGCTGTCTTGCTTCATGGAGAATGAGGGTCATTCCAAGCTTTTAGGTGGAGACATCCTAGCCGGGCGGTTCTTTCTAACAAGATCGGTCCTCTTGCTTGTATGTCACAGAGACTGATGAAGTTGGATGTGAGATGTGTTATCACTGCCACCTTGGTATGCCCTCCAGGTGGGGTAAACTCAGGGCATAGCACATCATTAGACATGATTCATTGTATGACTCACTCAGGGAAAGAGGCACTAGAGGGAATGCTCACTTCCTAGCCAGCCGCCTTGGGGGAGTTGATGGCTCAGCCTTTCCTGAAATCTCCAAGGGAACCACACTGTGCATTTACCAGGGAACAAGAGAGCTTCTTCACGTTTCCAAAAAAAAAAAAAAAAAAAAAAAAAAAATCATGTCCAAGTTAGGTTTCTCGGCCTTTAGAGCATAATGTAATTCTTTTCAAGCCTAATACCCTTGTCCTAAGCACATGTTTTATCTCAAATAGTTTTAGATTTACAGAAAAGTGAGCACAGAAGGACCCACGCTGTTATTAATATCTCACGTCAGTGCAGTACAGTGGCTGCACCGAGTGAATTGGCTTTGACACATTCTTATTAAACTAAACACACACTTTGTCCAGATTTCCTTACCTAATGGCCCTTTTCTGTTCCAAGATCACATCTCAGATCCATGTGACACACAGTCATCTTGTCTCCTTAGGCTCTTTGACTGTGACAATCTCCAGGGCTTCTTCCTAATTGCAGCTATCTATCCATCCTCCTATCCAGCCCCGATTTCTCCCCGCCAACTGCTGTTGCTATCATGTTCTTACCCATGGCTTTCATTTCTAAAAATCATGAACGCTGGAGACGGGATATGCCCTGAGTTTCTAGCAGGTGTAATCAACACACCCAGCATCTCAAGATAAACCCATTTCTTCTTTACGTTTTGGAGCTCTTGCTGCTGATGCTGCCGTCCCCAGAAAGCCCCTCATTGAAAGGTATCCAGATTCCCTCTCCCCTTTTGTATACTGTGAGCAGTTGGTCACCTCCCCACTTCTGCTTTGTCTCCAGTTCATCATCCCTATTGCTAAGACTGCCACCTTGGAGCTGGCCCAAGGTTACAAACCCTTTCTAATGCTTTCCCTATCTCTAATCCCTTTTTAATCCACAGTACAATTCTCTGTCTAGGTGCTCTGTTTTCCTTTCCCTCCTCCTCTTCGTCTTTCTTCTTTTATTTGGGATAAGGTCTTGCTAATAGTTCAGGATGACTTCAAACTTAGGATCCTCCTGCCCCAGCTCCCTGAGTGCTGGGATTGCAGCAATGTGCCTGGCATTATGACCTCATCTTAACATTGTTTCTTTTCATTCTTTGTTTCTTTCTTTCTTTTTTTTTTTTTTAAAAAAAAATACCTTTTACATTTGAAACGTTTATTTAGTGGTGTGAATAGGCCTGTGTGTACCATGGCACATGTATTGAGGTCAGAGGACAACTTGTTTTGTTTTGTTTTGTTTCTTTCTAGGGATTGAGCCTCAAACCAGCACTTTTGACTGTCAGCACCTTTCCTTGCCCACCCATCCCACTGAAGTTACCTTTTAAAGATCCGCTCTACAAATGCTGCCGCATACAGTCACACTCTTGTGACTTGAGGGTCTTGAGGTCAGAACTTCAGTACTGACTCATGGTGAGCTTCTTTCAGTCCCATACCCTGTCTTTCTGTCCATGCTCTATGATGATATGAACTTCCCCCCAGACCTTGCCTTCCTGGGAGACCAACTCTGCAGCACCAGCACTCCGGAATCAGTTGGTCTGAGTTTCACACTCTGCCTCCTTGGCATACTTAGGAAGTGACATCTGAGGGGCATCATTCCCCACTGGTCCTGTGGAAGTGTGGCTGAGGGCTATGTGTCATTCAGCAAGTGCAGGTGCCCTTTGTTGAATGCTATCAAGTGCAGTAGAACTTGCCTGTGATGGAAACACACCCTCTCTGGTAGCTGTTAAAGCCACGTGTGGCTTCTGAGTGCTGCAAATGTGTCAAGTGCCGATGAGGAACTGAAAATGCATTTTAGTTAATTAGAGCTTTATTTAATTTTTGGTTCTTTTTTTTTTAAATGTCATTTTAGAGCTTAAGCTGGCCACAAATTCCCTAGTGCTAGGAAATTGGGGTTTAAATGTAAGTAGTTGGATGTAGCTAGTGGCTATAGCACAGGGTGGAGTGTCCTGATTCACCCCGGGGTGGGGTGAGGTGGGGGTGGGATCTCAGGTTGTTTCTACAACATTCTTGCATTGGACCTGGGCCCTGACTGAGGTCAGTGTCCTGGCCTCATCTTTGTGCCAGATGGCATGCTGTGGCTTCTGGTGGTGTTTGACTTGTATTGCCTCTGGAAAGAATTGCCCAGTGCAGTGATGGTCAGAGATTGCTGTCTGGTGGTTAGGACAGAGGTCCCTGGTCTCTAGCAGCAGCCTTCTGAAAGGGTGAGGGGACAGCTAAGCAGCCCCCTGCTGACTTACCCCTTCCAGCCAGGCACAGTAGAGGAGTAGCACATTCTCCTAGATGGCACTGAGGCCTGTTTCCACCTCAACGTGCCCCCCCCCCCCAAAGGCACCTCCAACTGCATGTCCTCCTCTTTTGTCCCAGTGTAGAGTTCATTCTGATCACTTCTGACTTCCTTCCATTCACATCACTCCCTTATGAATCCCAGTTCCCTTCTCTCTCAGGCCCACCCAGTAATTCTGGGTGGCTACTTGTCTCAACACTTCAAAGCCTGGATCATAGGTCCCAGCTTTGTGACCCAGACAGGACCAGCTTGACACTCCCCACCCCTCAGTCCGGGAGCTACTTGCTGCCCTCAGGAGCAGGAAAGGCCGGTCCCTACTCTGGTTCTCAAAGCTGACCCCACAGCTCTCCAGTTTTTATCTTGATGCCATTTTCCTCCCTTTAAGCCACAGTTTCTTTTCTTTCTTGCTGCTGGGCCTTTGCACAGATTTAGCCTCCGCCTAGAACATGGTTCTCGGGTTCCGGGCAACTCCAGCTTTATTTTCTCCATCTCTCCCTTACAGTGGCCTTAACAGTTGTGTCTTCTCTCCCTCCCGGTGTACATGCATACATACATCCACTTTGCAAACTGTTTCACCAACATAGTCCAGCAGCCTCCTAGAAGTCACTTACTCTCGGGTGTGAAAAAAGAAAAGTGTACTTAGAAACAAGAAACGGGAATTGTGTTCCAAGAAGAAGGAAAGAGATGGGATGGGCGTCAGAAGGAAAGAGATGGGATGGGCAGAAACAACCAGCGAGGGCCGAACAAGCCTGCGTCTGCGCCCACTGCCTACGGGGGCGCGGTGGGGTGGGGCGCTCGGCCTCTAGGCCCCTCCCCACCTCAGGCCCCGCCCCAGGCGCTCGGCCCATCCCATCCACGCCCCGCCCCGCCCCCCCGCGGCGCGCGCGCTGGCCGGGCAGCATGGCGGCGGCGGCGGGCGCCCCTCCGCCGGGTTCTCCTCCGCCGCCTCCGCCGCCGCCGCCTGAGGAGTCGTCCGACAGCGAACCCGAGGCTGAGCCTGGCTCCCCACAGAAGCTTATCCGTAAGGTGTCCACGTCGGGCCAGATCCGACAGAAGGTGAGCCCGCGGCGTCGGCCGGGCGCGCGCCCCTCACGCCGCGGTCCCTGCCGAGGCCCGTGACCGTGTGCGAGCGGCCGCCCAGGCCCTGCCCGGCCGAGGTCCCGCGGTCGCTGCGGCCGGGCCGAGCGTGCCACCGCCTAACGGGCCGCGGGGCCGGGGCCGCGGGGACCGGGCCGTGGGGACTGGGCTCAGGTGGGCGCCGCCGCTGAGGACACTGAGGCCCGGCGTACTGCTGGGTCGCTGCGGGGACCACAGGCGCGCTCTCCCCGAGGCCCGGGGGGGGGGTCTGTACGTTTGACAACCGGGTGCTGCTTCCCGTCCTCACCTGTGTTGGGCTCACCCTCCAGTGTCCACCCGGCTGCGGGGTCCTCACCCACCCCCGGGTCCCGAAAGGGAAGGGATGCGCGTGTAGTGGCCGCTTCTCCCTCCCTCCTCGGGAAAGCCGGGACTCCTCACCCGCTGGGCACAGAACTCCGTGGAGAACTCCAGCCGCTCGGGATGCAATGCAGAGAGACGCATGCCTTTTTGTTTTCTTTCCCGAAGAATAAAGTTGCACCCTTTGCTTTCCCTTTTTTGTTCCTCTTGAAAACTGCGTATGGTTTCTTGCCGAGGTGAGCCCTCCTTGTTGGAAGGTCTTCCTCAGGCAGGTGGCTGGACAGGTGGCGGAGAGCAGGTTGCCACCGTGGGGCATCCCTGGCAGTTCCGGCTGGCACGGGTTTGCTCGTCCTGCTGCAGTGCGCTTTTCCTCCGAGGACAGTTAGTTACCCTTTACTGGAAGAGCCATTTCTTGCTTTATCATCTATCAGCCTCTGTGACTTGCCATGGGAGTGGGGGGTGCATTTAGGTGCTGCTGTGTTACACTGTTGTGACGTACCCCAGTCATTCATCACATGGGATCGAACACCTGTGTTATTCTAACTATAGCACTAACAGCCCCAGTGATGGTGGAGCAATTGTATGTAACAATTCTCCATTTTCTCGTGGGCTAGCTTTGAGCACTTACTTAGAGTTGGTGGTAACTAACATCCCACATTGTGCTCGTATGGACTGAAAACTAAAGCGGAGCAGTTAAATGACTTGCCCCCCGGGTGGCAGAAGTAGTAAAACATGGGTCTGGGTCTGAACCTTGATGAGGATCTCACTGATGGGAGGCATCGTCTAGGGGTTACCTGGCAGGTAGGGAGAGGAACCCTGCACTTGTGACATTATAACCTAATAAATGCTATGGAAGATTGGAACTTTTGTCTGAAAGTTTAGGCACACCTGGAATGGTCAGTGGATCAGATGGAGTGGAAGGGCCAGGAAAGATCAGCCAGGGGCAGATTTAAAGGGCCAGCCTGCAAAAAAGAGCACCAGTGAAGTCCATTCTAAACATGGGAGTGAGGGGGAGATATGTCCAGGAACATGTTTAGGAAGCCCTGATACTGGTAGGAATGCCCTTTCCTAGAGCTTGGTCCTTAAGATGGATACTGGTGTGAGGCAGATCAGATGCTGTGACTGAAGGGAGTGATGGACGAAGGCCAAGGTCATGGTGGAGAGGGTGGACTTCTCAGAGACTCAAGTGAGTCCAGTGTTTTATTGGTCAGGAGGCGTCTCCCTGCCTTTCCTCAAGATGAAGACAATAGCTGCTGTACCAGCTGTTCTGTTGGTGGGGGGAGTGGTGGTTATGGTGTTAAAAATACATCCCGAAGACTTGCTTTCAGAATACATTCACATCTGCTGTACAGATAGCTCAGGGCTGATTTTTCTTCTGAGTTGCTAGCGCTTGTCAGGATGTGGGAAATGTGAGGTTTAATGTGTGTGCAATAGCTCCCTTTTGTAGCAGAGAGGCCATTCACAAAATTTTTCTGGTATGTGTGTGTGGTACTTAGTGCAAATTTCCAAATGATGTGATCAGGTCCCTCTCTTACTGTTTGACCAGAGGAGTTTAGTTCAGGGGAGCTGGTGGCACAGGTACTGGAGAACAGAGCATGGAAGCTGCAGGCTGTGAGGCAATTCAGAGATGAAGCAACATACAGGAAGCCACTGCTACCACAGAGTGGAGGGACAAAGGTCAAGGGGGGGGCACATCAGACTCCAGGGTCGGGCTCCTCCAGAAACTGGAGTTGTGGAGTTGCACCTGGCGGAGCTCTGGGAGGGTAGAGCTGCAGCTACACACGCACACTGACCCCTTCTGCCTGGGCACCCTCCCTGTAAAGGTCACATCTGCAATTTGAAACACATCAGAAGAACCAGACATGCATCTGAGGACCAGCTGGCCCAGAACCAGTGCTGTATGTATGACAGGTTTTCAAACACATTAGTTTACCGCAGTCTCTAGCCGTCTTAATTTAGGGGAGAATTGGTAGTGGTCTTCAGATTTTAGTGTGTAGACATGTCCCCTGGGGACCCTATTAACACCCTGATGCTGGGTGAGGAGTGGGACTGGGGCCTTGGAATGTATATGTTTAGCAGACTCCCAAGTTGTTAATACTGCTGTCCAGGAAGCATGCTTTGCGAAGGAAGACCCTAGGGCGGCCCTGTAGAGGAAAAAGCCTTACCTTTCCTCCAGGCCTCTCCTGAAATTTGGTATGTGTAGATTTGGGATGGCCATTTATGACATGTTTGATTGGTGTCTTCCCCCCCTTGTTTGAATTCTTTGTAGTTGAAACTGCCCACAGAAAATACATGGTTTTATTTGTGTTTTCTGACCACACAGCTAGGGTGGAAAGAGAAAACAGGTAATGCACTGAGCAGTGAGCTCATCAGCACTTTGGAGCATATTTTGAAATTTGAGTAAAGAGCAATGTAATTCTTTGAAGCTATTATTTAAGATAGGAGCCTGTCTTGGAACTAGCCCTGTAGACTAGGCTGGACTCGAACTCACAGAGATCCACCTGCCTCTGCCTCCCGAGTGCTTGGATTAAAGGTGTATACTACCAATGTCCAGCTTATTATAAGTTTTTAAAAGTTAACTTTAAAAAAAAAATGTAAGTATAGAAATGTTTGCATTTTTTTCTTTTTTGAACCAGGATTTCTCAGTGTAGCCATGGCTGGTTTCAAACTCAGATGTCTGCCTTCCTCTGCCTCTGATTGCTGGAACTAAAGGTGTGTGCCACACCTTGAAGAAATGTGTGTATTTCTGATTTCAAATTTAAAGCTTTTCTTTTTTGGACAGGGTTTCACTGCTAAATTCTGGCTGTCCTGGAACTCACTCTGTAGACCAAGCAGGCCTGGAACTCACAGAGATCCACCTGCCTCTGCCTGGAGTACTGGGGTTAAAGGGTGTGCACCACCACCTGGTGCTTTTGATTTTTGTTTTTGTTTTTTTTTTTTCCTTTGTGAAATCGAAACTAATAGAAATTAAGTAAAGGGTTCAAGCTTTATTTTTCATTTTACGGTTTGAGGGACAGGGTCTCATGAGCTGGCTACATTGAGGGTGACCTTCTGGTTCTTGTCCCGCCTCTGCATTGTGTGCCACATGCCCACCACTCCTAGTTTTTGCAGTTCTGGAAACTGAATTTAGGGCCTCAGTGCTAGATAAACCTGAAAAACTCAGGTTTATGAAACAACTCTGGCTGGGAAGGTGGGTAGAATGCTAACCTTGCCTGTGTGAAGCCCTTCACCACATATACCAGGTGTGTCGGGGCTTGCCTGTAACCCTAGCCATTGGAGGCAGGAGCAGGAGAATCAGGAGTGTAGGGTCATCCTTGGAATCCAAACTGTTCTTTAAATACAAGGCTCTGTTTTTAGAAAGGGATGGAGACAATAACTCACATGCCACTCAATTTACTCATGAGAGCAATATGGTTCAGCTGAGCACAGTGGCATACATCTGTAATCCCAGGTGCTCTGGAGGCTGAGGCGAGAGGGTCTGGAATAGCCTGGAATAGACAAGATCCTGTCTTTAAAAAAAAAACAAAAAACAAAACAAAGCCTGTATAGTGGGGTGGTGTTTAGTATATTTACAGTTGTGCAACTGTCACCACAGCCAATTTTAGAACATTTTTATCACCAGTTTCCTCTCAGCTCCCTCAGACCTCGGCAACTATTTATGTACTTTCTGTCTCTGTACTTGCCTATGCTGATTATTTTCTAGAACTAGAGTTATTTAGTATGCCGTCTTTTGTGTTTTGTTCCTTTCATTCAGCTGTTTAATTTTTAAGTTGGCATGTAAAGTGATGGGCTTTATTAGAGTACTCATACATATATCATTGTACTTATAGTCAGTATATTTTCAGGGTTCTTCCAAGTTATAATGTGTCATTACTACATCTCTATTAATATTCCACAAGAGAGATATGCTTCATCTTATACATTTATTAGTTAATGGGCATTGGGGTTACTTTTGTTTTTTGTGTACATTTTGTGTGTGTGTGTGTGTGTGTGCATGTGTGTAGACATGTCTTCATTTCTCTTGAGTGTATACCTAGGAGTAGAATTTTGGGACCATATGGAAACACTATTTAACCTTTTGATAAACTGCTGGGATGGTCTTATGAGTGGTTGCACCATTTTACATTTTCAACAGCAGTGTGTGAGGAGGAGGCTCCAGGTCTCTGTATTCTTGCTCATACTTACCTTTTTTTCTTCTTCTTCTTCTTCTTCTTACTATACCTGTTCTAGTAGGTGTGAAGTGGTGTAAGATTTTTTTTTTTTTTTCTCTCTCTGTTTTTTTCTGTGCTAGAGATGAAGCCAGGGCCTCATGTAGGAGGCAAGTGCTTTACCATTGAGCTATACTTCTAACTCTTCTACATGTTCAAATGCTCCACAGCATTTACTATGCTATAAGGTCACATGTACTGGGGGCACCTCCCCACTAGAACAGCAAGCCCTAGATGGAGAAACCCTCCCATCAGTGGGAGGTTCAAGGTTGAAACCCAGGAAACAATAGCTGCTATACAAGCTGTTCTGGTTGGTCTCAGTAAGTTCTCCAGATCTTGACATGCCAAGTGTTGTGCCAGGCACTTGGTGCCCACTTGAACAGGACAACTTTCAGAGAGGTAAGCCAAGAGTCC